TTTCCAGATTGATTATGACGTATATTTTTGAAAAAGATCTGCTTATCCCCTACTTAAAGGATCAAGCATCTGTGTTTCTCATTGGCATGATTTAGAGGCTCTGACAGGGCCTTTTCTTTTCAGTTTACTGAGGTTTGCCATGTTAGAGCTTGAGATATTCATAATCAAAATGTGAATGTTAAAACGACAAGTTCTTGGTGATAAAGATTTGCCAAGACTATATTGTGCTTATCTTACATACAATATCTTGCAGCTTTCATGCTTAAACTGCTATTAGAAAGAAATGCTTATTTTAAATTGCATTATTTTACTAAATATTATAATACATATAATAATTATTATTCCATAGCAGAAACATGTTCTTTTTTTAAATGTCCTGCATTATGCCTTTTTGAATCAGTTGCTTTGCCAAGATAACAAACTCTGCTTCCTTCACAGTCATCTCCGCAGCTAAATAAACAGACCTTTTCTCTCAGACCTAGGTTCTGTTGGTATTTTCTTGATGGAAAAAGGAAGCAAACAAAAACATGTAAATGTCAAGTAGACCCTCAAAATGCCACTGACCCGAATAACAAAACAACATTACTAACTTTCGGAAATGCTCAAATAAACTGCAAATGTAGAAAACAGAGCCATCCTTCTTATTAAGTATGAAAAACATTGTGTGGGTAAGATATGCTGGGAAGGAGAAGTGAGATGCAATGAAAACTCCCAGTTAACTCTAGTTTCTTATAGAATCATAGAATCATAGAATCAAAGAGTTGGAAGAGACCTCATGGGCCATCCAGTCCAACCCCCTGCCAAGAAGCAGGAATATTGCATTCAAATCACCCCTGACAGATGGCCATCCAGCCTCTGTTTAAAAGCTTCCAAAGAAGGAGCCTCCACCACCTCCGGGGCAGAGAGTTCCACTGCTGAACGGCTCTCACAGTCAGGAAGTTCTTCCTCGTGTTCAGATGGAATCTCCTCTCTTGTAGTTTGAAGCCATTGTTCTGCGTCCTAGTCTCCAGGAAGCAGAAAACAAGCTTGCTCCCTCCTCCCTGTGACTTCCTCTCACATATTTATACATGGCTATCATATCTCCTCTTAGCCTTCTCTTCTTCAGGCTAAACATGCCCAGCTCCTTAAGCCGCTCCTCATAGGGCTTGTTCTCCAGACCCTTGATCATTTTAGTCGCCCTCCTCTGGACACATTCCAGCTTGTCAATATCTCTCTTCAATTGCAGTGCCCAGAATTGGACACAATATTCCAGGTGTGGTCTAACCAAAGCAGAATAGAGGGGTAGCATTACTTCCCTAGATCTAGACACTATGCTCCTATTGATGCAGGCCAAAATCCCATTGACTTTTTTTGCCGCCACATCACATTGTTGGCTCATGTTTAACTTGTTGTCCACGAGGACTCCAAGATCTTTTTCACACGTACTGCTCTCGAGCCAGGCGTCCCCCATTTTGTATCTTTGCATTTCGTTTTTCCTGCCAAAGTGGAGTATCTTGCATTTGTCACTGTTGAACTTCATTTTGTTAGTTTTGGCCCATCTCTCTAATCTGTCAAGATCGTTTTGAATTCTGCTCCTGTCCTCTGGAGTATTGGCTATCCCTCCCAATTTGGTGTCGTCTGCAAACTTGATGATCATGCCTTCTAGCCTTTCATCTAAGTCATTAATAAAGATGTTGAACAGGACCGGGCCCAGGACAGAACCCTGCGGCACTCCACTTGTCACTTCTTTCCAAGATGAAGAGGAAGCATTGGTGAGCACCCTCTGGGTTCGTCCATTTAACCAATTACAGAACCATTTAACCAATTACAGGTCCATTGTTTTGATCAAACTAGAAAACTACAGCTACCAGTTTTGGAAAATGACAAGATCTTAAACCATGGTTTGAAATTGAGCTAACTAAGATCCTGGCTTACCTCAAGCAAGTAACCATAGTTACTTTGGAGAAAACAGGATACTATGATTAATTGGAGACTTCCCCATTTCATAGAGATACATTTCAAGGGAGAAAAGGGGAGTTCTATTTGCATCTCAGTTATTACTTTTTATTTTTTGTGTGTGGTCTCTTTCAGAAAGTAAGTTCTTTTTCAAGTGTTACTGAAGAAGTAGAAACATTGTAAATTTCACAGGCTAGGGATGTCCCTAGTCTACATTCATTGGTGGCTTAGTTATTAAGTACAATTGTCGTGTTTCTCCTTTTTTCAAGAGAGGACACAATCAGTTTTTGGCCATACATGCTGCTTCTCATCCGTTTTAGTATATGAGAGAGCATCAGCAATGTGCCAGCTGTTTTAAAGAGGTGCCCTAGATTTGAATTCCCTGATGAGTAGTGCTTCAATGAATCACTGTAATTTTGGTGGATATTTAACAGAAGCCATAGTACCGTCTATCAAGGTAGATAGTTGGTGATGGAAGGTGTCGGCCCCATCTCCTTATTGCTACTTTTTTCTCATGTCAGGAGCGACTTGAGAAACTGCAAGTCGCTTCTGGTGTGAGAGAATTGGCCACCTGCAAGGACGCTGCCCAGAGGACTCCCAGATGTTTTACCATCCTGTGGGAGGCTTCTCTTATGTCTCAGAATGGGAAACTGGAGCTGACAGATGTGAGCTCGCTCCCTTCTTGCTGCTTAAAATGCATAACTTGTTACACCTTTCTAGATCTTATTACATTCTGTCTCTACTCCTACAACTGCACAATGATGCTTTATATCTGAGGCCTTCATACCACTTTATATTAACTGAAGTGCAGGCAAAAATAAAAACCAGGTAGTTTTAAAGGCACTGTCACCCCCCCCCTTTTTTTTCTCCCCCTTTCTTTCTCCTTCTTGATCTTATGACTGAAATGATACGGTTTTCTAGTCAGTTAAAGCTAATAGTACGATATTGTCTTTAGGAGGGCACAATAGTGTTTTGTTGTCACAGGCTAGTAAGGCTATATCTCTTGAATTACACTTTCTGAGTTTGGAGCAAAATTACCTATTGTGTATATATATGTCTTATTATTGAGAGTCAGTGTGGTGTAGGGATCTGAGCATTGGACTATGACTCTAGAGACCAGGTTTGAATCCAAGCTCTGCCTTAGAAAACCACTGGGCAACCCTGGGAAATTCACACTCTCCCAGCTTCAGCAAAAAGCAAAGTTATACCCTCTTTGGACAATCTGAGGCTCCTTCCACACAGCCTTTTATCCCAGAATATCAAGGCAGAAAATCCCACAATATCTGCTTTGAACTGGGTTATCTGAGTCCACACTCAGATAATGTGGGATTTTCTGCCTTGATATTCTGGGATATAGGGCTGTGTAGAAGGGCCCTGAGAGAACCTTAGGGTCATCAAAAGCTGGAAATGACTCAAAAGCACGCAGCTTGTCTTGCTGTGAAATTCAATGATGCCTAAATATAGTAGTAATCTTTATGGAACAGTTCTATTAAAAGAAAAGATTTCTTCACTATTTGATATCTATCTTTCAACATATGCTGCACTTTGGGACTCAAAGTAGGCGTCTGAATAAAACTTTAGAATGAAGCATGGCAGATGTTTTTATTGCTGTGTGAACAGTGTTGGAATTGTGCTGGAATTAGAATCAGCTGGAATTCCAGCTCTGTGCACAGAGTTGTTTAGCTGTACTACTGTTTGCTAATCACACCAAAGCATAATGAGGTCAAATGATGGAAGGTTTGGAAATACTTTTAGAATGTTGAATGTGCACGAGGGAAGATTTGAAAAGCATTGTTGTTCAGTACATTATTATTATTGTCAAGTTAAAAAAAAACATGTTGGAAGGAAGATCCATAGCCTGGGAATGGGAACTTAGAGTCAAGGAACAGTCCTATGCAGAAAATCAAACGAAGTAACTCAAGGGGCAATAGTTCAGGTACTTCTGAATTACAGGGCTACATCTTCTTTCTTTCTGTTCTAGCTGCAGACAGTTTCCGAGTTTAAATATTTGGGGGGGGGGGGGGGGGGGGTTGAGACAACAGGAAGTGAGAGACATCCACCCCTCGGAAGGGAAATTCATAGGGAAAGGGTGTCTCAACTGAAGCCTTTTTACCAATCCTTGTTTCCACAGCAAACCAATTTTTTCAAAATCTAATTATCACAGGGACAGAAAGTGAAAAGAAATCTTCTGAACAGGGGCACAGACTGCAAAACAAGCTCCACAGTGGTGTTAACCCTTCCCTATGCTACCCAAAGTGTGTGTGTGTGTGTGTGTGTGTGTCTGGAGTTACATTTAAAAATGTACCTGTTCCAACTTCCATACAAATTCAACAAGAATAAACCTACAGAGCCTATCTTGTACTCTTTTTGAATAGATGTCAATTTAAAGACCCATAATGGTTTTTGAAACCTGACTTATTATTTGAGATTTTTTTTTAAAAAAAATTAAGCCATTGCTGGTGTGATGTCACAAAATCATTACTGTATTGGAAGAGGCATACATAGAAGAGGGAGGGTGGCCAGAGCGAGCTGAAATCTCATGGGGAGCGTCGGCCTTTTCTTCCCTCTTCTGCCAGGCACTACTGCTGCTTCCTCTATCCCCAGTCCAGCTGCCAGGATAGAAGGACACAGCGAGTTGTCTAGCAGGTGACCAGGACATAGACTCACCTGGCAGAGGATGGTGGTCAGGAGGAGGCATAGGCTGGCTGGGGCTGTCTTCTTGGGGGACATCATTTAGTGGTGGCAACAGCGATAATGGATCTTCAAGGGCATCTCCTGTATCCACCCCCCCCCCACTCCCTGCTTGCCTGCTCACTGCTTCCATTCAAGCACAAAAAAATTGCAGCTGCCACCTCTTACAATCCGAGATTGCTGTGTGCACATTGAAATGGCAGCCTCAGCCTTCAGGAAGTTACCATTGCTACACCATAGGCATATAGAGCTTTGCTGGAGTTCCTTAGCCCACAGTGATAAGAGTGTAGACTGAAGCTGCTTCTACACTGCTATTTAGCTTGAATTAGGATATGGATTAAATAGAACCAGTTTGCTCTGGGTTGCTTACACAGGCACTTCATGAACCAGCTTCGACCAGGGATGGTGGCCACAAAGATCCACTGATTGAGAATCAATCTGATCCAGGGATTTTTCCCTCCGATTTCATCAGGAAAGATGGACTGAAGCAGGCCAAAGCAAGAAAGTGAAGGTAAGCATTCCCACGAGAACTCCGTGGTTTCCTTTTTGGGGGAAGTGTTTGTTTACCTTCCACCTTTGTATTCTGTTTCTCTGAATGCTTCTGTGGTAGCCCTGTCCTTAGAAACACTTTGCTTTTTGGTCTCAAATTCCTTGTCTGCATGGTATGTAAACTGATTGGTTTCAGCAGGTTTCATGATTTAATCCAGAATTTTTGGTGAGTTTTTAAAAATATGCTGTTTCTGGCTGGATGTGTGTTGCAGCACACATTTGGGGGTGTATGTTTTTGAGACATCCTAATCTCAAGTCAGCTTGAAGTTAGATTTTAGTACCTGTTTAGAAGGGCCTTAAGTTAAAAGTGTCCCAAATAAGGGTCATAGAGAGTGTGTGCCTGGAAACACTCCCCTGCCTCCCCAGTATCAGATTGTTGTATGAGTATGTGTGCACCTAGCTGCCATACACATACTTTTTATTATTATTATTAAACTTTATTTGTATCCCGCTAGCATCTCCCGAAGGACTCGATGCGGCTTACAAAGGCCAAGGCCTCAACACAACAACAGCAAACAATAACAATACAATACAAAGCAAATTAAAAACATAAGTAATAACAAAACATTACACCATTACACAATAAAAACCAGGGCCGGGCCAGTGATGGGTACAGGTTAAAAAGTGCTGGGTGTGACAGGTGGTATGTTGGGATTCTGGGCAAGTGCAATGTGCAGAGAGTTATTAAACTCTGATAAAGTGCTTCTGGGACATAGTGCTGGGAGTCATCCTATTCTGGAAAGGCACATCGGAATAGCCAGGTCTTCAAACTCTTCCTAAATACTGCCAACGTGGGTGCTAGTCTAATGTCTTTGGGGAGGGTGTTCCAAAGTCGGGGGGGGCAACCACAGAGAAGGCCCTGTCCCTCGTCCCCACCAAACGCACCTGCGACGCAGGTGGGATCGCTAGCAGGGCCTCTCCGGATGAACGAAGGGAGCGCGTTGGTTCATAAACGGAGTTGCGGTCATGCAGGTAGGCAGGTCTCAAACCGTTTAGGGCTTTGTAGGTAAGCACCTGCACCTTGAATTGGGTTCGGTAGGTAAACGGCAGCCAATGGAGCTCCTTAAACAGGAGGGTTGACCTCTCTCTGTAAGGAGCGCCAGTTAACATCCTGGCTGCCGCTCCTTAGCCCATAGAAATAGGAATGTAGACTGGGCTGTAGTTTGGTCATGGTGGTAGTGGTGACTTAACTTAGTCTACATTCCTAAGGAAGGTGAGCAAACCACTGCTTCCATTCTGGAAAACAGGAGAAAAGCAGATGGCAGACCAGCAAATGTGGAGGGCAACTATGTAACTGTTTGAATAAGCTACATATGCTTTCTAATAAATAATGAATTTACTTTACCATTGTTTTGTAAACTGTAACCTGGTTTTCTTCTTCTTCTTCTTCTTCTAGTTATCCAAATACTACTGCAGTATTTTAGCAATGGAGAAAAATGACAGTATTGTCCCCAGTATAACTCAACTGGAACATTTTTTAACAGAGCATAACTCGAATGTTGTTTGGCTCCTTGTTGGTATGTAAAATGTGTTTTGTTCAACTTTTCATGTGCTTTTTAATATTGTACAATATCCCATTTTAGATTCATGTATCAAGCATTTTGAGTAACAGTTGCGCTATATAATTGTGACAATTAACTGAAAAGGTTCTTTGTTAGTAATCTTGGACTTGATAATCCCAAACAAATCTTAACCACTGATCTTGCCCCTTTCACTGAAGAATAGTAAGTTTCCAGTAGATTTTTTTATCGTAATGACCTGGAAAAACAGCAACATGCTTATGTGAGATATAGCTCTTATTTTTAAAACGTGAAAATACTTTGAATACTGTTTTGTCCACATATAATGCAGGTAAAGAATTAGTGTTGCTTGGAATTCAGCATTGTGTAGCTGGGGGTCTTTTTTTTGATGCAGCAGCAGCAACAACAATGCTGATTGCCACTTTTTAAAAAAGTGCATATCCTTACTTTTTTCAGAGAGTGGGGTAGCAGCTAAGGAAATTAAGACAAATGATAAATTCCCCATGGTTCCAGCAAATAGGTCTTATTTGCTTCTGTTTTCACTTGGCCAAGATTTTACAAAAATGTCCAAATCTAGATAAATTGTAACCTTTAACTTATTAGAAACAAACTGTAGGGAATTCGTGTTTTAAGGGTATTAGCTCTTTTTTGGGAAAATGTGAAAACAAAAACTGTTAGGAATTAGTCTTTGTTTAGCAAAGTAACAGCTTCTGTTTCTCTATGTGCAAATGTGGGACTTAGATGAGAGAAATAAACAGAAGGATTTGATATGCAATAAAACCTTTGTGCTCTAACAGAAAGAGTGTGAAGAGAGAGAGAATGATGGACTTTTCCAACACAAACTCATTTTATTCTGTTAGTAACGCTCATAATTCATTTCAGTATATCGTATTAATTAGTCATCAAAAGTAGTGGCCTTTTGGACTACTGTAGTTATTTGAAAATTGGAGGTAGTTCTTCTGATTTCTGTCATGGGCATTCTGGAGGAAGGTAGCATAGGGTGGTCAGGTTCTCTCTGTATATCTGTAAGCCACAGTGTAGCTTTTCATGTGACTTGGACAGAGACTGTAGCATAAGTGGATATCTGACCGTCTAAAACAGAGTCTAGGCCAGGCATGGGCAAACTTGGGCCCTCCATGTGTTTTGGACTTCAACTCCCACAATTCCTAACAACCTACTGACTGTTAGGAATTGTGGGAGTTGAAGTCCAAAACACCTGGCAGACCAAAGTTTGCCCATGCCTGGTCTAGACCATAACGCCGAACTGTTCCAACACTCAAGTTGAATTGTTGTGCTATAAGTCAATTGTTCCATTAATTTTCTTAAGCCTGGGCCGTTCTAAAACATGTTATAATTTCTTTTGCAGCTACAATTTTGTCGTGTGGATGGATTATTTACCTAACTTATTATAATTCCCGGAACATTGGACTGATTTTAACATTAGTTCTCAACAGATTACATAAAAATGGCTACATCCATATTGGTAAGTCTTTTGGCGTTTGTATGATATAACATCTGTTCAGAATATATCCTAAAATTCACTAAACATATACAAAATATATACTAAAATACTAAGCTAATTTATTTTATTTCATGTCAAAGGCATTGCATAAATGAAAATGTTGTAAAGTAATGCTTTTGAGTTGGAAAGATTAGCCATTTAGAAGAACCATTGCCCAGGGGATGCCCAACTGTATTTTCTCAGTCTTTGAGGAGGCTCTTTCCGTGCCCCCCATTGGGCTAATAACAGGGTAAAAGAGGGAGTCCAAATTAGCATAAAGTAAGCATTTTAAATTCCTATATATTTCAGAGAGTATAAAAGAGCACTAAGTGCATGTTTTGCTATCCCATTCAAATCAGTGTGACAGTCAAATATCCTACTGTGGTGGAATAGAAGCATATAAATTAAATAGAAAAGTATGTCCACCATCGGAATCCCCTGTGTCTTTAAATGTGCATAATATGAGAACAGACGGAGTGAGTGAATGAATGAGAAGGACAGACTTACCTATACCATGCATCCTATCATCTTCATTAAAGTCTCCTTGTTTTGAACAGTTGGATCATAGATTTGCAAGGGTTATTTAGTCAGTCCCCCAGCCAGTGCAGGAGTGCACAGCTAAAGTACTCCTGTGGGGTGGGCATCCAACCTTTGTTCTAAAATCTTCAAAGAAGGAAAGGGCCAAAAAGGAAAGAACTGCCATCCATGACAGTCTATTCCACTGTTGAACAACAATTACCATCAGAAAGTTATTTGTAATGTTAAATGTTCCTTTTTTGACATTTGAATCTATGTTATGTAGGAGAATGAGCAAGCTGATTTTTGCTACTCAAGAAACTAGTTTGTGTCCTAGTTTCTTGAGTAGCAGAAATCAGCTTGCTCATTCTTCTGCATGACATCCTTTCAGATATTTGAAGATGGCTATCAGCTGTCTCTTCTGCAAGCTAAATATACCCAGCTTCTAAACGGTTGCTTATAGGGGCTGGTTTCTAGACCTTTTAGGTCTAAATTGTAGGATGCTGAGATGGATTTTATCCCATGCTGTGTCATGATGATACGATATATATTACAATGTAGTCTGAGCCCTGCTACATGCACAATGGAGGACCTTCTTATAGCAACACCAGGGCACTCCCTGAGGCACTCTCAAGTGGCCAGCTACTGGTCAAAGGACATTTAGTATAATGACAAGATAATAATAATAATAATAATAATAATAATAATAATAATAATAATAATAATAATCTTTATTTATACCCCGCCACCATCTCCCCGATTGAGACTCGGAGCGGCTTACATGAGGCCAAGCCCAAATGATAATAAAGGGAAGCACCCACCAAGACCCTCCTCCTCCTCTTCCTCCTCCTCTGCTGGGCAAGAACCCCCTCCCTTCACACACACACACACACACACAAAGACATCATCTGGGTTGTAGAATTTGGGCTGTATGGCTGTGTTCCAGAAGCATTCTCTCCTGATGTTCTCTCTTTGGTTCCATCCTTCCTTGTCTCCTTCCTTCCCTCCCTCTTTCTCTTTTTCGTTCCTTCTCTCCTTTCTTCCCTCTTTCACTTTTTTATTTCCTTCTCTTCTTCCTTCTCWACCTTTCTTTCCTTTTCTCCTTCCCTCCTTCTTTCCCTCTTTCTCTCCCTCCTTCTCTCCTTCCTTCCGTCTCTACCCTTCTTTCTTTCCTTCTTTCTCTCCTTCCCTCCTTTCCCCCTTCTTCTTTCCCTTTCTTCTCTCTTTCTCTCCCTCCTTCTCTTCTTCCTTCCTTCTCTACCCTTCTTTCTTTCCTTCTTTCTCTCTTTCCCTCCTTCTTTCCCTTCTTCTTTCCCTCTTTCTCTCCCTCCTTCTCTCCTTCCTTCATTCTCTACCCTTTTTTCTTTCCTTCCCTCCTTCTTTCCCTTTCTTTCTCTCCTTCCTTCCTTCCTTCTCTACCCTTCTTTCTTTCTTTCTTTCTTTCTTTCTTTCTCTCCTTCCACCTTCTTTCTTTTCCTCTTTCCCTCTTTCTTTCTCTCTTTCTCTCCCTCCTTCTCTCCTTCCTTCATTCTCTACCCTTCTTTCTTTCCTTCTTTCTCTCCTTCCACCTTCTTTTTTCCCTCTTTATTTCTCTCTTTCCTTTCCTTCTCTACCCTGCTTTCTTTCCTTCTTTCTCTCCTTACCCCTTCTTTCCCTCTTTCTTTCTCTTTCTCTCCCTCCTTCTCTCCTTCCTTCTCTACCCTTCTTTCTTTCCTTCTTTCTCTCCTTCCCTCCTTCTTTGCCTCCTTCTCTCCCTCCTTCTCTCTTTCCTTCCTTCTTTCCCCCTTTCTGTGTATGTGTTTTGTGTGTGTATATACATATATGTGTGTGTTTGTGTATATATATGTGTGTGGTTTTGCGCTTGCATTGTAGTGTATTTTTTGGGGGGAGCTTGCTTTTTAAGTCTTCTCCACTGTGTTTTTCAGTGTTTTTATGAGTGATGGTCACTCGCTGGCCTAATCGATGTATTTTGTCCAAATTTGGTATCAATTCGTCCAGTGGTTTTTGAGTTATGTTAATCCCACAAACGAACATTACATTTTTATTTATATAGATTTTTCAAATTATAATCCGGCCCTCCAACAGTTTGAGAGACTGTGACCCGGCCCTCTGTTTAAAACGTTTGAGGGCCCCTGATTTACAGTGTTGAGATGCCTTTTTTCCCTTTTCCCATTACTTTTTTGAATACAATAGGACAATTTTGAAGAGGCATTAGAGCAAGGGTTGTAATAAACTTGCTCTGCCAGTGGTTGGGTGGCTGGCAACTGATGATGTGTAGGATACTGAATAAATGAGCTTTTGTTCTATGTCACTGTCATTTCTAATGTATTCGTATTATTTGGGCCAGTCATGTTCATAGCCTTTACCAGCATAGTTGGGTTTTGCAGGTCTGGGGACCCAGATTTCTGCTTATGAGGACTAACAAACATGATAAACGAAACAAAACTGGAAGAAATAACTTCTGGTTTTGAAAAAATGATATTTTATGGCGTTCTGCTGTTTGGAGTGTGTGTGATGTCTTTAAAAGGTAACTTGCTGCTCTTAAATGTTATCGGGGGGGGGGGGGGCAGTTCACTTTGTTTTCTTGAAAAAGGGCAACCAGGGAAGTTGAAGGCCCACAGTTATACAACAATGGAATGACTTCTACTGCATATTAGTACCCTTTCCTTTGTTGGAGATGTTTAAACAGATTTGGATACACATCTCTCAGGTGTGCAATTCTATAATTCTTGTCCTACAGCCTTAAAGCTGACCTATCTCAGCTACACAATTGCCACCTTTGATCTAGCCCAGTAGTCCCCAATCTTTTTTTGACCAGGGACCATTCTCCAACCTTAGTACGAATCAGTTTTTAGTCAACTTTAGATTTGGTTTGGTTATTTGGGGTGCTACTCAGAAAATTGCATTGGATAGACCACATCAGCTCTAGTTTCTGGTACAGAACACATGCCATCCAATAGTTGCCATCTGTTTGCCCACAGGAAACCATATTTAATAATCTAGAACTTAATTTGGTAGTAGTAATCTTTCATGGGTAGTCAGTCTCTCAGTTCCAGACATCCCCCGTTGCCTCGGCACTATAAGAGGGTTTCGCAAGACGAGTCACTCTCATTGCTATGTGGTTTCGAGGCAACGGTGTAGTAATTGAGAGGCTGCGGACCATATTTTCGTTTTTGCACACCACTGGTGGCCCACGGACCACAGGTTGGGAAGCACTCTAGCCAATCTGTGAAAAAATGATGTGTGTAAAAATTAACTAACTTGATTTTTTAAAATTATGTGGACTGAATTATTTTTCTCTCCACCATAGGTTCCTTTTCGTTCTCTGTCCTGTCTGGAAAAATCATGGTTCGTGAAATTTATTACATTACAGAAGACATGTCAATCAGGTATTTACTTTCTTACATTGTTTCAGTATTGTGACCATGCTATTGGCTTATCCCTAGTATACAAGGTCACCCTCACAAAATAATCGGTTCTAGTGCATTTAAAACACTTATGAAACTGGAAGCAGAGATTATATTGCAAATCCAGTCATCCATCACAGTTGGGTCTCTTAGCTATGGGTGATGTGTAAGGTTACAGCAAACCGCTTCTGAAGAACTCTTGCTAAGAAAACCTGTGATAGTTTCACTTTGGAGTTGCCATAAAGCGGAAATGATTTGAATGCACACAAATATCTGCAGGGTTACATGTTCTCCATCTCTGGGTTTGATTGTGCTATTTTTTGTTTCAATCATTAGTGCTAGTATAGTAAGGATGAACAGAGTAAGTTAAAATCAGACAGTTTTGTAAAAAAACAATGTCCTCTTCTAAATTTAAAGTAACAAGGTTTGTCGTACCTTTGTTCTCATTTCTGATCCAGAACATAGCTGTCCAATAGAAAATTGTGATAAGCCGCAGTATGTCGTGTCTTTTAAATGAAGAACAGTTTTGATAATCTTTATGTTGTTTGAAGTAGTATTTCAATTAATTGAATGTAATGTATATATATAAATTTAGTAATTCTAATTATATAAACATATTCTTTAGAATACAAGATGGGTTCATTATATTTCGTTGGTGGAAGATGTACAATCCAAAGCAAAAACAGCATGGTAAGTTTTCTTCAAAAATTAAGCGTTGGATTCTATAATTCTATAACAGTAAAGTGTTTGCATCTTGTAATGTAAATGAATCTCTAAAAAAAGCCCAGTACACAAAAAACAAGAAAACAAAACAAAAAAAAACAAACCCAAAAACGGACATTTATAAACAACTTCTGTAGATTATAATATTTGAATATGCCCCCCTTGTTGTTTAGGCCTTATCAATTCCAGTGTTTCCATGTGAAGCCTGATTGAGATATTCTGATTCTATTCCCATATTTTAATTATTTCGCAGTAGCTGATATGTCTGGAAATTACGTTCGAGCATACCACCTGCAGATCAGTGGCTATTTAGCTATGGCTAGACACATTTCAGGAAGGATAGAGCTAATGGAGTAATTGAGGCTAGTGGCCACAAATACATCTTGAAATAATGAATTTGATTTGGAGCTAATTCACAAACTATCTTAGATACCAACCCCATTAGAACTGTATGTAGTAGAAACACAATATGCATTAGAAATTTAGTGCTAGGGAAAAAAAGCTTGATATTCCTTAGGGGTGAGGTTGAATTGCAACTCCTAGCATTTATTGCCATTGTGTATGCTGGCTAGAGCAGCACACCAAAGTTTGGTCTGTGTCTAATAATTGGCTCCTGAAGTAATATTTTATCCATTCATACAAAGCTTATGTCCAAAATAAAAATGTATTACAGTACATTTTGATATGGGGTTTTCTTCTTATGTCTTGTGATTTGTCATAAAAATATTGAGAAAATAATACTAGTTTTAGAGGTGGTATTCTGTTGTATGTGACTTGTATGCTGCATTTTCGACCAGTGTTATTTATGGAAATCAACAGCTTTATTCAGGGCCGTAGCCAGAAAAAAAATTCGGGGAGGGTTGACAATTTGGGGGGGGGGGTTGAAAATTTGGGGGGGGGGGTTGAAAATTTCGGGGAGGGTTGAAAATTTGGGGGGGGGGTTGAAACCTGCCTCCTAGCTCACGCTGAAGCAAAGAGCACAGCAGGGGGCAGAGCAGCCTTCAATAGCCTGCAGCTCCACCCCTGTCAACCACCTCCACCAAGTCTGGCCTCCTTAATGAGAGCATTCAACACACACACTCCCAACTTGGTTGCTTCACTACATCGGCTATTGCTGCAAGTAATGACAGTGTGAATAAATTGTCAATATTTGCTTGAGATAGTGCTTACAGTTCTAGAGGGACTCTTAATTTTTTGCATCTCATAGACTTAGCATGGGGATTTGGTTAACCAGTTAAAATTCATGAGTAAACCAGGTTTTTTAAAAAAAATCTGAAACATTTTGGGGGGGGGGTTGAACCCCTAAAACCACCCCCTCGCTACAGGCCCGGCTTTATTATATGATTCAAAGTGAAAAGCTATGTAAATAGGCACGGTTTTCAGTTTTCTTCTCATTGGTTGACTTGTCTACCTTAAATAAAGCATAGCTATTGACTTTTTCTAATGAAATCCATTTGTCATACAGTGAGCATGACTATACTAGGTAGGTCAAAGGCAGGAATGCTTTACAAGCAGTATAGTTGCCTTTGATTTTACCTGAGTATATGAAATGTAAGATGAATGTAACTTTTTACTTCTGGTGAAAGACCCCACTTGGAAAGAAAGCTGTCTATCTACTATGAGTCACTTGCTCTTATCTATTTATTTCTATCATGGAAGTGAATGTGTTGAAAAAAGTTTCTAGTTTCTGGTTGTAATGCAGTAAAGTCATGGAGAAGTTTGGGGGAATGGGGGAGTTCATATATGCACTTCCAGTTCATTTAATTGAAATGTAATATAATTCCACCATCTCAACTCAGTAATCTTCTCTAGTCACTGGAGATTTTCATGATTTTTATCTACAAAAAGATAACCTCTCTGTTTGATTAAAAAATTATTCAGATGCTGCATTGCACTTTTTGGTTTTCATAATAAATATCCTAGATGTAAAGAGAAATAGTTGGCAAACTAATAATCTACTTCGAAAGACCCAATTTACTGGAATATCAAAAGAGTTCATGTCTCTTGAGTAAATAAGTAATAGGGTTGTCTTTAACGGAGAAAAGACCTAGTTAATTATGACAAAATTGTTTTTAATTAGGTCATACTGCTTGGAACTGAAGGTGTGGCGCATCACCCCTGTTTTATATTATAATAGCTGATCAGGCATAGTTTTGAATGTGACTCAGTTTTTTAAAACAGGAATCAGCCACATTAAGAAACTGATGTTATATTCATATTATTTTTTAGCTAAATAAAGAGACATTCTGCATCCGTGTAGACATATTTAGGATAGTGGTGAACAAATGCATGGATTTGGAGGTTGCTCTGTCTCCCTGCTGGGATAAACCCCATTTTATCCTCTTCTGATGCCATCTGAAAATGATTTTGCCTCTAAATGGCTGATCATATCTCAGAGCCTTCAAAAGTTTCTCTGGGGCATTTTAGGGCTCTCACTCATCTTGTTAAGGCCCTTGTTAGCTCTTCCTTCGAAATAGAAAGTGAATATACTGTCACATTGTGTTTTGACAATAAAAGTTTAAAAAGTGAATACACCCCCCCCCCATCATAGTTATACTGATGTGAACAATTTCAGTCAGTGTGTAGGTGCAAGGACTTATGGGCTGCAAAAATTATCTTTAAGGAATGTATTTATCCCATAACTATTATCTGTGTGCTAGTAATATGAAGGATATGGTCTTTTAAAAAAAACGAAATAAAATGGGCTGCAATCTATAAAAAGTAATGTCAAAATAAATGTTTATTGTGTCAGAAGTGAGTTGAGGGTACAGTTAAAATGCATTTAAAAACACAAACCAAGTTTAAAAAAACTTGGCATTATGCTAAATGTCCTTTAACCAGAAGCTGGCCACTGAGTGCCTGTGGTGTTGCTGTGAGAAGGTCCTCCATTGTTCATGTGGCAGGGCTCAGGTTGCATTGTAGTAGGTGGTCTGTGGTTTGCTCTTCTCCACACTCCCATGTTGTGGGCCCCACGTAGTAGCCCCATTTCTTAAGGTTGGCTCTGCATCTCGTGGTGCCAGAGCACAACCTGTTCAGCTCCTTCCAGGTCACCCAATCTTCTGTGTGTCCAGGATGGAGTTTTTCATCTGGTCTCAGCCACTGATTAAGGTGTTGGCTTTTGACCTGCCACTTTTGGCTTCTCACTTGCTGAGGTGTTCCTGCGAGCATCTCTCAATCTTAGGAGCCAGTCTGAGTCCCTCTATGGAGGAAGGAAAAAAATCGGGATATAAAAGTTTTAAATAAATAAATAATAGGAAGCTGTTACTTGATTTAAGCTGTTGGCATGCTGGCTGATATCCAAACAGAGGATGGGCCGGAGATGTCACTGTCTTGACCATTCATTGTTGACTGCTACTTCCTGACAGATGTCAGGTGGTGCAATACCAGCTAAACAGTATAATTTATCCAGTGGTGTGGGGCGTAGCCAACCTGTGATAATGCGGCATGTCTCATTAAGAGCCACATCCACTGTTTTAACGTGGTGCGATGTATTCCATGAGAATTCAGCAGCAGAATAGCAAAGCACAAGGGTAGAAATGTTAGTATATTAATAATAGATAATAATATTATGTACTACACAGTGAACATATCGCAATATCAAACAAAACAACAAGGCTTGATAAGACTTGGTTGCACTCTATGTAGTAAGTTAAAATAAGACACCTCTAACAATATAGTAAATATGATAAGATATGATAAAACTGATAACTGGTATTCTAGATCACCTTAGACAATTCAGACAGTTATCCTTTCACACTCTCTTTCCTGGAAAATTCACTGTGGCCATCAGCTGGTGCTCCCATATTGGTACAGTAAACACTTAAGGCACTATCTGAAATTAGAAATTCATGTTTGTCTCAGTTATCTCATTTGTTCATAAATATATATGTATCTGTGTGCGAGGTTGCACTAATATGTCCAGATTTTATTCCAGTGTGGAGTTTGTTTTTGGTTTGCTGAAGTTGTCTCATGAAAAATTACTTTATAAAATCTTTTTGTTGTAATTTACAGATCCAAAGGCTGAAACAAGATTGTATATCATGGTAAATGATTTTGAGTTCCATGTCTACAACCGATCAGACCTTTATGGTCAGCTTCAGGAATTATTTGGTTTAGACCCAACCATAATTCCTCCAAAGAAAGAGGATGAGAAAACATGGGAAAATGGAAGAGAGCAAGCACACACAAATCTTGAAAGGTAAAACTACAGATTTACTTCAGAACCTTTGGTGTTTGAACATAAACCTGTCACTTTTTAGGCTTTGAGGCTACCTGAATACTTAAACTGAAGATTTCTACTTTCAGCAAGAACAGCTGTATTTGTCAGAATGCCATATTACAGAGGTTTTTCTGTACTATATTATTTTCCTTTCAAAGCAGTCCCTTGCTTTTCTATATGTGAGTGTACATCATAGATCTCATCACTTTGTTTTGAGTTCTAAATGTACATTCTTTAAAAAGTATTTTTAGTTTCCATTGAAAATATGACTTATTTTAGTTGTTTTAATTATTTTAGCACATTTAATTTCTCTTCTGCTTTTCTGCAGTAATGTTTTAAGTGGTATCCTTTAATTATTGTAAGCCATCCTGAATCCCTTTCTGGAAGAAAAAGAGAGAGGTTTAAATCCAATTATTAAATAAATAAATATGTTGTAATGGCAGCCCTCCAAATTCAATAGAGTTAGTGGGATAGGATCCCTGTGAAAGTGGAAAACCTCAAATAAAGAAATTGCTATTTTTCTGACCTGAAAGATGATCTCTCTTAAGAATTGATTAGGTCTTCCAGCCTGATTCATTGGTCAACTGTCATTGGATGCTGATCATAAATTTGTATTGGAGGATTTAGAGATTCCTAGAGAGCTGTTCTCTCTAGAAATTACTAGAGAAAGTTAGCCATAGAGCAATATTGAAGGACCCAAAGATTCATAGAGAGACAGTTTAAAATTCAAATCTATGAATAATCAAATCCCCAAATGTCAACCTGCAAATGTAGAAGGATGACTGTAGGCTGTAAAAGGGAAATTTGTAACATTTGACTGCCCACGCCCTACAGGGGAGACACTACTCTTTTCCAATTGATTTTTGAGACACAATGTGTAGCAATGTAGGGTCTTCTCAGAAGGCACAAGTTGTAGATTTTTTTGTTTCATTACATGTTTTATTTCTTTGAACATGTCTAAGCACCAGAATGTTTTTTCTTTGCTCCAAAAGATCTTTCACACTGCCATTGAAAATCTTTTTTTCCATTGTTGGATCCACCTGTATTTTGTCTGATTTACTTTCCTTTTAAAGTAATTGTAATTAACTCTAGCAGAAAGCATTTCCAGGAGACTAATGGCATTTGAGCTCTCTTTAGAGACTTACCCCGTTGTTTGCTCTTGCACAACACATTAGCGTTTTAAGATCATTTTTGCTTAAATGAACTTTTGAGATAAATTATAATATCTAAAATGATAATGAGTTCAGTGAAAGATATTGCCTATTTCTAATAATAAATAGTAGCAGCAACAATAGCACAATAGACTCCTGTGTTTCATGCACTTGTTTTTATATGTTCAGACTATAATATTTAGTATTAATGAGGCAATGTTCATAAAGTTATACTCGGCCCATCATATAGAACTGGGTTTTATTTCAGGATAAACCTAGCTTCTACATACAAGTGGGATATCAGGGGGATTCATTTTCTTTTTGTTCATTAAGCAAATATTGTTTGTTTTTCTCCTTTAGTGTTAAAGTAAAAAGTGAGTCTCAAGACCCTTCATCATCATGGAGATCTCTTATTCCTGTAATCAAGGTCAATGTTAGCACTGTAAGTAAAAAAATCCCATTGGTTTTTATTTTGTTTTTGTTTTCCTTCATCTGAATACCACTTTCATTAACAGTTGTAATACTTCATTTTGAACTGTGAAAAATACATTTAAAGGGCACATAATAAATCTGGTGTTGGAGATATAAATATATGGCTTCCTTGAATTTCTGGATTAACATTTCAGCAAGAGATTTAGGCTTAGACATAAATTATATAAACAACAGTAACATTCATTTAAAATAATTGTTAAAATATTATGCAGCCAATACGCCAGTGAGGTCAACGGTACCAACTAAATCAAAATGTACTAATAGTGAGCTTTTCAAGAACTAGTTACAGACATTATTGAGGTTAACAAGTTGAGAAATCCCACTTGTTTCTTTATACAGGACTATTTCCATGATGAATAACTTCAAACTAAAATGCAATTCTCTTTCTCTTTTAAATTAGGGTCGTTTGGCCTTTGGGAACCATTATCAGCCTCAGACCCTCTGCATTAATTTTGACGATGCTTTCTTGACTTACACTACTAAGCCACCATCAAGTCACCTTGATCAGTTTATGCACATTGTGAAAGGGAAGTTGGAAAATGTGAGGGTCATGCTTGTCCCAAGTCCAAGATATGTTGGACTCCAAAATGATGAGTAAGTAATTACAAATTGAAGCATTACTTTATGTAGAATATTCTAATTGATTATAACATAGATTTGGTGTTTATTCCAGACAACCCTGGTTCATAGAAAGTTTTGCTGTAGACCGTAAAGTACCTTGCATATTCTCTTGCATCTTTGAAATTATTATTTTAATTGGGGTGGAGGGATAGAGTGGGCAACCAGTGATCCTCCAGAAGGTACAGGGTGCAACTTCCAACACCCTAAACCAGCATAGACAGTGGCAAACAGTGCTATCAAAAGTTCAAGATAACTGAGTACGTAGGGTTTTTTTCTGTGATAGAATTCAAAGACATGCTGTTTTGGTCTAGAATTAGTATGTAAATGGATGTTGTACTTTTGAGACTGAGAGAATCATGTTGATAGCATAAGCTTTCATAGATTAAGTCTGCCTCTTCAAATGCAACTGAAAATGTAGTCTTACAAAAGCTGCCAACATTATCTTGGTCCGTGTCTGACATGTTATAAGATCCCTCTGCATAGTGAGTTGTTCCTTGTTAGGTATAAAATATAGGTATTCTCACAGTAAAATGGTTTTGTACCTCATATTATTAGTCCAATTATTGAAGATTACATGTCCCAGTTGGACCTGGATTCTATTTTCGTAGAAAACATCATTAACACATTAAGAATGGAATATGGGGCAAGGAGAAAGCAACTGTGCTTTTTTAAAAAGCATGTGAAAGCTTCAATAAAGCAAAAATGAAAGAAATAAGACTTTTGCTATTGCGGTGGGTGAAAATGACAGTTGGAGTCTCACCATATATTTTTATAGGTTTAATTACTTAAAAACTAATTGGGTGTGTTGTCAAAATGCAATTTAAGACATTTAATAAAGACAATGAAGACTCAAAAATGAGTAGTGTATTAGCTTCATAAAATTTAACAATATTTTAATACTGAACAAAAAATGTCCTAGATCAGTGCAAGCATAAGTATAGTATACTAATAATAATACAGATTTTGGGGCAAGCTTGGACAAGATATATGTGCTCCAGTTGCACACATACCTTGGGAAGTCAGATGTAGGCACGGTAGTCCATGCTCTTCTTACATCGAGAATAGATTACTGCAACGTGTTCTACGTGGGGTTGCCTTTGAAGACTGTTTGGAAGCTAAAGTGCTAAATGGTTCTGACCCAGCTTACCTGTCTGAATGTATCTCCATCATGGACAGGCCCATACTCAGGATTTTGATTCGGGGGGGGGGGGGGGGGGGCTGAGTCTGAATGAGAGAGGATCTATCCTAGCAAACCTTTTGTATTGTTATCCCAATACCCCCATGCATATGAGATTTATTGAGAATGGTGATCAGATCATGGTATGAATAAACATAACAGTTTAAATAATGTACCAGTAAGGCCTTCTCACAGAGAATTTTCGGAGGTGGCTAAAGCCCCTCAAACCCCTCCCCATGGCTACATGCCTGATCATGGAGGTTAAGCTCTTCTGGGGAGGCCCTGCTTTCAGTCCCACCTCCATCACAAGTGCGGTTGGTGGGGAAGAGAGACAGGGACTTCTCAGCGGTGGCTCCTCAGCTCTGGAATTCTCTCCCCAGTGAGATTAGATCAGCGCCCTCCCTCCTGGCCTTTAGAAAGAAAACAAAGACATGGTTGTGGGACCAAGCCTTTTGCCAATAAAATAATGCCGTGCAAAGAATAATTAGGAAATACGTTCAATGACAGTCAGAATGGCTACAGTGTACGATGGATCATGTGATTTTAATATTTATACTAGGATGTTTTTAATGCTTTGTTTTAATGTTTAAATGCTGTTTATGTCTTATGTTTAATGTTTTAATGATTTTAAGTTATAGTTACATGTTAATGTTTAGTTATTATGATTTTCTTTCATTTTATATGTATATGGCATTGAATTTTTGCCATTCATGTTATAAACTGCCTTGAGTCCCCCCCCCCCCAGGAATGAGAAAGGCAGCATATAAATATAGTAAATAAATAAATATTTAAAGTTTTAAGTTGTAATGTTGGGATGCGCTGCCATGTCTCTCTATCACCAAGTAGCCCAAACCTACAAGGTCGTTGTACAAACGCTGAAGGCAATGAGATACTTCAACAGGTTTCGTTGATCAAATTATTATTATCATCATCATCATCTTTATTTATACCCTCCCTTTCTCCCCATGGGGACTCAAGGCAGCTAACACTCCACACTAGGCAAGTTTAAAAGGTGCAAGACAAAAGTTAAAAAGCAATTAAAAAGCAACTAAAAGTAGCAGTGTGGTAAAAACAAAATTAAAATACAGTAGATATACTAAAATGGCATTTAAAACTCGTATTCCGCCACATCTCACCCACAGCACCCCCTGAATTAAAAACCACAGCACCCCCTGAGTAGATCTTAAACACCTTCATCTTTAAAAGCCTGCCTGAATAAAAAGGTTTTAGCCTGTTGCTGGAACGACTGCAGGGAGGGGGCCATTCTGCCAGGTGAACAAAGTGCCACCCAAAATTGAGAGACAGCTTAGTTTTATGGTCAACAACTTGAGCATGTGCACAGTTTATTTTCAGGCTATTTTCTCCGATTCGTGCCTCATTTCTAGCTCTTCCTTTTGTTCCCTTTTAGTACCAGATCTTATCAGTTGCTTTTCCTCAGCATCTAATTCCCCCTCCTGTGTTCACTCCTCCTGCACCTGCTTCTTACAAGGCATTTCCCTTTTGAGCTTTCCCTTGTCTGTACTCTGCTTTGGCTGGTAATTTTCCACTACTACCTTAGCCCTAGTCCCTTCATTCTGCTTTCTTTTAACCATTAGATGTCTCCAATAGGTCAATACATTCTGAAGGCATGTTGGAGAGTCATGATTCCATGACCCCGGTCAGTCACAGTGAACCTCATCCCTTTGATTGTTTTGGAGATAAGGCATTGAACACAAGGAATCAAGCATGGGGTGAAACCAGATGACCAACAGTACTCAGTATAGCATATCTGATCTTTACCCACCAATTCCCAGAAAATAAGGGGCCCAATCCTCCAAAGTGATCTTGGTGCTAGTTATCTTAGTGGTAACATCATGCTTGTCATCAATTTCAAGACAACAGTTACTGAGGTTGAATTTTCCACCGACTCCTCCGTCAGCACCCAGAAAATAGTCTAGAGCTAATAGGTTTTGATGTATAGCATTGCAAAACCTTGTCCGTTGCCTAGCAAGGAAATTTAAAGATTTAATTTGGAAAGATATGCTGAAGGCAGCTTGACAGTTATGTAAAAACATTTCTCTCAGGAATGATTAGGACTTGTAAATGAATTTCAGTAGATGCTTGAGGAAATGCTAGTGAGAATTGTCTCCCTCTGACAAGTTGTCTGTACTATGTTTGTAGTATTTAAAGCAGTTAGCTTCTGAAAAGCTACTGTTGCACCCTAGTACTCGAACACCTTTTCATCCAGCTCCACAACATAGTCCATGGATCCAATAACAATATGTTTATTAAAGAAAGTATATAAAAAGGGGAAAAGGGCAAATCCAAAAGTACAGTCAGAATACAAGATGCAATGCACAAAAGACTCAAAGATCAGTAGCAATAATCCAAAAATGCAAGCTTAAACACCAAAACTGTGGAATCTTAATTCACAGCATCAATCCAAAGGTATATCCATGAACATGAATAAAGGAACTCTCCAAGGTAAATCCTTTAAAGGTACATAGGTGAAAACAGGAACGTGAAACAGGAATGTTGACAAAGCAGGAACTATGAACTTGGAATCATGAACAGGAGAACTATTCCCATTAGCAACATTGTCTCCTCTGAAAGCCCTGAAACCAAACCACTTAATTTAAGCCTGCCAAGTCACTCATGACATCATCCTTAGCACACCTGGTCTTCAAGTGGGTCAGCTCACATATTTCCTATCTCTCATTCTTTGGGAATATCTTAATTGCCTTCTTTTTCTTGCCTTGCATCCTAAGGTCCAATCTACACTCCCTTGAAAAGTCTTCGGCTTCCCAAGGTCTTTTCTACAGGGAACTTGTAGTTCCATTTTCCCCTTTTATCTGAGAGTGACCTAGAGAATCCAAACCATTAGTCTCCGCTCTCACAGACTCCTCACTTGGGAACCCATCACCCCTCTCATCCTCTGAACATTCAGAGAAATCGTCTGTTGCTCGCCTGACTACAACAGTTATGTGTTACTAAAGCCCAGTGCTGCCCAGGGGGCAAATAATTGAGAATTCTATTCTGTTTATAGTTACAGTCTTAGAAGTATTTTTGCATAGTCTAAAGCACATGTGTCAAACTCAAGGCCCATATTCCATATCTGGCCCGCAAAGTTCAGGTACCATTATACCCTCCCTTCTACTCCTCCTCCTCCACTTTGGATGGCCAAACTGCACCTGTGCATCTATCTATATGTATCTACATATATGCATTCATGGTGTCCCTCCAAAATATAGTCTTACAATTACAAATGGCCCTTTGAAGGCAACCATAAGGTTTGTGTGGCCCTTGGTGAAAATGAATTTGATATCCCTGATCTAAAGTAAAGAACATGCAGGGACCATAGGTCAATCTGCTGGACCTAAAGATTCCTAGAGAGAGCATATCATTCAAATATCCGAATAATCAAATCCACAGATACTAAACCAGCAATTGTGGAGGGCTGACTGTAGCAGACTCTGTAAAAATGTAAACTCCCTCCTTCTGGCATAGACTCCAGTATTCATATTGTTCACTACTACACTTTTTAATTCTTTAATAGACCACCAAGATTGATGGGAGAAGGCTTTGTTGTGATGCAGTCGAATGATGTTGATATCTATTATTACATGGATGAACCAGGTAAGTATTAAACTGATGATTTAAGAGTGACACCAGTTGCGGGTGCTTAATATTTGTCTGTATGTCAAATGTTAGTTTTCAGGACATTTTTTAAAATTAAGAAAGTTCATATGAAGAGGGCAGCAGTTTTGCAAATGTGCACTACAATCACAGACTCACATTCGATACGATCCATTACAGTCCCAATTCTCTGGAATTGTTTTTAAATAGAGTATGATAATGATTTCAGTATTATCCTGAAGTTTCCATTGCTAACTGCAGGGTCCCAGATAGTTTTACACTTTACAAATTTTCGAAGAATGTTTTATAACTGCATTATTGCACAAATAAGGTCATTGACTTGTCCTAGAAAATTCTTTATCTTTCAAATGTAGCCTTCCAATTGTAAAATAAGAAGAATGCTGACCTATATTACAGTGAATTTATAGGGGTCATAGAAGAATGGATGTGACGTGTTTTTGACATTCAGAATGTTATATAAAAGCTAGCCATTAATTTGTAGTTTGTAATGCTTTCTACATTTTTTTTATCCAACAGAAAAGCACTAGCTGTTCTGTTGGCAGTAGTAGTCATTGTTTCCACATTCAGCAGAATCCTTATGACTAGTACTTTATTAAATTGGATGCCAAAATACACTGTATTTCTTCAAAAGAAAAGTGAAATATAAATCTTGACAAAATAGCTTCTATTGTAAGACAAAATGGTTGACAAAACATAGAGTAGTAAGTGACTAATGTAAAATGGCAAAGGTGAGAGGAGCTCAGTTACAGTGAAGTGTATGAAAAGCAAATCTAATATGATTCAGAATGAGCTTTGCTACAGATGTGGGTTTGAGAGAAGTTATGAAAAACTATGGAGAAGGAATTACAAAACAGCTCATGCTAAATTAAAAGGAAAATTTTGGAACAACTTTTCAGTATCATAGAGTGAAAATTAATTATGTCAGTCTACAAATAGAACGGCAATTCTTCCTAATTGTAGCTCTTTGCACACACACACACGCCTCTACAAATATATTTTCTGGGGGTTTATGGAAATGCATGGGATTAAAAGGGAAATGGGAGGAGAAAAAAAGTTCCATCCCATGTGCAGAAATGTGCTTGTGCAATATTGGATGTTTGTTAGTGACCATTAAATTTAGTTTTTTTTTAAAAAAACTGCAGAAACGTATTCTCAGAAAGTAGTCTGTTAAGTTATACTCACATGCCAAAATTTTCCATGTAATGAATTGAAGAAGAGGTAGTAATGAATAAGAGGCTTTGCAAGTTAGAAATTGTACTAATGTGTCCCTAGTTTGTGTGAAACCCCATCTTTATAGCTGTTGAAACAAGAGTGTGTTCAGCTTCCTGTAACGCAGAGGTCCTAAAACCTTTTAAGCTGAGGGCCAGTTCGAGGTCCTTTCAAGGTCCCTCAGGGCTCGGACAATAGTTTGAAAAAAAAATGATCAAATTCCTATGCACACTGCACATACCTTGTTTGTGAAAGACCTATGGTCTAAGCATCGGATAAACTCTCTCTCTCTCTCTACCTTGTTTGTAGTGCAACCCCCCCCCCCCCCCCCGAAAAAAAACAGTACAATATTTAAAATGAAGAACAATTTTAACTTGTCACAGCCCAGCCACTGTGATATTATGGTATCGAATATAAAACAGTTTCGGAATACACCCATCAGCTAGATTTCCAAAAGCAAGGACCAACTCTGAATAGAAATACCAAAAATCACTTAAGGCAAAAGCAAGAAACTATAATCTCAGGGTTATAGAAACTAGAATTATATACAAAAGTTTGAAAGCATGAACATGGCCTGAAACTTGAATTTAACTATACAGTGTTCCCTCACTTATTGCGGGGGTTCCATTCCAGGACCCCCTGCAATAAGTGAAAATCCACGAAGTAGGGATGCCATATTAATTTTAATATTTATACATTATTTTATATATTATTTTCTTTCCTGCACTTCCTTACCTGCCTCCCGGCCCATCCCAAAGGCACCTGCCTGCCTCCCTGGCCTCCACGGTCCACTACAGAGCCTCCAGAGCCACGCAGGCAGCAGCAGGCCAGGGAGGCAGGCCTTCCCCGCTGCACCTTAGGCCACCACACTTCCGGGGTCTGTGGAGGCCAGGGAGGCAGGCCTGCCCTGCCGCTCCTCAGGCCGCCACACTTCCGGCGTCACTGGTCTTCACTGGATGTAAATATTTTATATTTCATATTAATATTTTCAAAAATCCGCAAAACAGCAAGTCATCTAAAAGCGAACCACGAAGTAGCCAGGGAACAATGTAATCCCAAAGGCTTGAAATGTGAAACAAAATTTATAATCCAAACTGGAGACCTGGAACTTAAACAGGAAAAAAAAAGATACAGATCCAAGAACAGAATTCCTAACTCAGAGCTCCCAAGACAAGGCAACTTGACACGTGAAAATCTAACATTGATCTCCCCACCGAATATTGACTCCAGTTCCTTAAGAATACTCTTTCTTGCCCATGACATCACTCTGTCTCACACCTGCATGCCCATTGTTTATCTTTCAGTCTCTGGGAACACTGGATTTGTGTCTGTTTTGCACTATTCCGTCGGATATGGAACCACTGGGTTATCTGTAACCCTTTTCTTCCACATTCCATTCAGAGTGAATTCCTGGCCGATTCTCATGTTTTCCCAACAACAGATCTACCTAAAACATTCCCATCATCTTGAAAAACACGTTCACTTTTCCCCATAGGCTCAACCAGAAAATCCTCCTCCTCCTCCTCAGAGGCTTCATAGACCTCAGCATAACCAACATAAATTTACCAGTATTTCATTGGCAAGTGTGGGCCTTCTTTTGGCTGATGTTAATTAGTCAAGTTAATTAGGATTGTTGTTGTGTGCCTTCAAGTCATTTTCTAAGCCCAGGTAAATGACCTTGGAGGGCTGCATCTGGGCTGTGAGCCTTACTTTGGGGACCTCTTCTGTAATAGTTGCACTTGTAGGAGAAATTGAGGCAGGTGTATGCCCTATTTATACAATCATAGAATAATAGAGTTCGAAGAGACCACATAGGCAATCTAGTTCAACACAATCAAAGTACCCCTGGTGGCCATCCAGCCTCTGTTTAAAGGTGTCCATGGAAGGAACTTCTACCATACTCTGAGGCAGAGAGTTCCACTGTTGAACAGCTTTCACAGTCAGGAAGTTCTTCCTAATGTTCAGGTGGAATCCCCTTTCCTGTAATTTGAACCCATTGTTCCTAGTCCTAGTTTCAAGAGCAGAAGAAAACAAGCTTGCTCCCTCTTCCCTATGGCATCCTTTCACATATTTATACACAGCTATTACGTCTCTTCTCAACCTTCTCTTCTGCAGGCTAAACATAACAAGTTCTTTAAGATGCTCCTCATAGGGCATGATCTCCAGACCTTTGATAATTTTAGTTACCCTCTTCTGGACATCTCCCAGCATGTCAATACATCGTTCTCATGCTATCACTGTTGTTGGTTTGCAAGATTCAACATAATGCATACTTGGAACATGAAACTCAGTACCCAATTTAATTGAATGTTAAATATGAAATTCTTCCCTTTCCTAGTTTTTAAGCAATGGAAAATAGAGCACGAGTATGCTGTTTCGGTGTATTGATTTCTAGAAAAGTCAAGAAAACCTTTAAAGCTCCAGGGATGCTGTTCCACTTGGCCTTTCCTCAAGGCGGCACACATGCTTCAAAACTTTTTGAGTTCTGTGTTTATTAAAATTCCACCATGGAAAATTTTTATAATGATAAGCTTTCTCCTAGGCTAATAATACTCTGCATTCTTTCTGGTTTTGGATCATTTTGATATCCCAACAGAAAGAATGGAGAGTCTTCTTTCTGTTTACCTTAATGTTTTAATAAAGGCATCTTATGGGCCTAAAATAGGGGCATGTGCAACTTCTGGGCCACCCATTCCCCCCTTGTGGTGTAATAATTCAACCTAGACTGAGATCTGGAATGGGCATCAGGAATGCATACTCCTTCTTGTTCTCAGACCCTGTTTACCTCACTTTTAAATGTATTTATGGGCAAGGATAACATGTGCACTAGAAGACCTCAATTTAATTTTGGTTGGCTACATTGACAATGTTCTACAGAATTCATTTGAATTATAGTTATTTAAAGTCATGGTAAATTTTTCTGTGATGTCTTTCAAATCCTTTTTTGAGCTCTAGCAAATGCTTTCATATTTGTCATTGAATCCATGTGGGTTTGTGATACAGATATTAAAGCTATGATATTTCATACATGTTTTGGTTAATTCCTAATAAGTTACAAATAGTATTTTCTTCTGAGTACATATTATTTGAAAACCCTTCTTTTCTGTTTTCCAAAATGCAGGTCTTGTCCCTGAAGAAACAGAAGAAAGTAATGAGGAAGAAGCAAGCAATGAAGATAGTAAATTGCAAGATCTCCCCCCATGTTGGGGACTAGATATAGTTTGTGGCAAAGGAACAGATTTCAATTATGGTCCATGGGCTGATAGACAAAGGTATTGTGGGTGTTTTGTTTCATGTTTTATCTGTCTCTGCTGTAGATGGTGGAGAACATAAACCAAAATTGTTAAGTAATCAAAGAACTACTATATTTTGTTTTAAATTGTATTACAATTAAATGTACATTAATTGATATACAAAATTTGTGAAAATAATGTATTTTACTTTTGTAAGAGCAATTAATTTCCATGTTCAGAGTCCAAAGGTCCACCCAGAGATGATGTTAGTGTCTGTCTTTTAACCACAGCTGTTGGTCCTAAAGATTCTGGTATGCAAGGTCTCATTTCACCTCTGTCAAGTGATTTTGGCGAAGAAATTAACAGCATGAACACAGAGAGATACATTTTTGTTCATGCTAGGGGAAAATATTTACATACTTGTGTCTTAGTCAGTAGTTTTTTATTTTTGTTCTGATGGGTGTTATGTGAGTTCATTATCATTGTCCAGGTGGCACCTGTGCATCTTCTGTAATAGGCTTTTTTATGCAGCATTTTTGAATGTGTACTTTTACTATCGAAGTAACGTTTGGGTTATTTTAAAGCTTACTTTACAAAGTCAACTGATTGTATATTTTAATACTTTAGACCTTGAGTAACATTTGAACTCTCCCATAATTTTTGTTGAGGCTTGTGAAGCCTCTGCCTCTCAGGTTGAGGTTGAGGATTTTTTTGTTTGAGCTTGTGGGGGAAAGCAAAAGTGTGTTTTGAGATGTTTTAGATATGTCTGTTGTCAGGGAAACAGACCGTGATTCTCAGGGTAACCCAGCGTTTATTGCTCAGATGGAAGGGTGTGAAGCAGAGACAGATTCGTTGTTCTCAGAGACTGAAATATAAACAAAGGGAGCCCAGGTGTGGGAAAGAATGATGTCTAGGTAAGAGGGAGACTTCTTAAGAAATCTGAGGCTTTGTTCGGTGTGGAGATCAACATTGGAATTTCATGTATCAAGTCGCCTGTCTATGAATCTCTGAACATGGAGTTCTGGATCTTGGGTTTTTAATCTTGTTTTCCTGTTTAGGTTTCATGCCTCCTGTTTGGATTACAAATCTTGTTTGAAGTTTTCAAGACTTTGGGATTATAGTCAAGTTTCCAGGGATTTAGGATTATATTCATGTTTTAAGTGCCACCACCTTGGGATTACAGTTTCTTGTTTTACCTTCTGTGATTTTTGGATTCATGCTCAGAGTTGCTCCTTGCCTTTTGTCAAGCTTTTGATCTCAAGTGCATGGATGTAATGTAGATACTGCTTTTACAACCTGAGCTTTTATTTTACTTGTTTGCATGCTTAGTTTGCTTATTTTAAATTATTTTTAGAGAATTGCTTGCACTATTTAGAAGCTGTTACTTTTTATATACTTTTATATACTTTTTATATATCTTAATAAACTCTATTATTGTTGAACTGTGTGGTGTCTGGGTGAAAAGGGATCGAACAAGTGGCTGAGCTGCAACAATTTTACTAGTTATGCTTTTGATGAATGAGGTATTTAATTATCTAATGAAGCAGATAAATTTGCCAAGTCTATTAATCACACACCTGTTTAATGTGTGCTTCATAAAATGTAAAGAAAACAAATAACTCCCCTTTCATTCAAGATAAGTAACTCCATTACTCTTCTTGTCTTTAATTTTTAGGGACTGTTTGTGGAAATTCTTTTTCCCACCAGATTATCAAGTCATGAAAGTTTCAGAAGTTCCACAGGCTGGGAAGCCAAGGCAAATCCTTGCTTTTGAGCTCCGTATGAATATAATTGCAGATGCAACTATTGATTTGCTCTTCACAAAAAATAGGGTAAATGATGAAAACATAGCTGGATATAAGAATTATAAGTTAAACTAATTCTTGTTTCTTTTATCATGCTGTTCTATTTCAGGAAATATTTGAGTGGAGTGCAATAAGTTAGCAGCTATATTTTGCTATTTCATGTCTTGTGGGTTAACTATTGAAATAAAAATGTATTAGTAAGAAGTTCTTATTGTTGGACGCCGGATGATAGTTGATGAATTAATAAAGTTGACAACATTTTTTTTCAGAGAAACTATGTCTGGTACAGTGTCCTCCGACAAGGAAGAGAGGGGACATTAGTATTTATTTATTTACGACATTTATATCCTGCCCTTCTCACTGTGAAGGGGACTCAGAGTGGCTTACAAGTTATATGTACATATGATATATTTTATTATTAGCATGGCACAATATTAGTATTATATATTATACTATACCACTATACTGCAGTGTTATTAGTAATATTACATGTAATATAAAATACATGTAATATAAAATATATAATCAAATATATATTATTATATTTGATTATTATTTGTATTATATTGTATTACAGTATTATGCTCAATATTATATGGACATACAATACACTGTAATTATTAGCATAGCACAATATTAGTATTATATATTACTATATTGTACTATACTGCTATACTGCGATAGTATTAATAATATTACATGTAATATATAATATACAATTTATTCTGGCTCAATATCTTGACTGCAAGTGTGAGGTTGTGGGAGCATCCTGTAGCTCTCTATTTAACCAGTACTTACACCAGATACATGTTATCAGACAATGTTTAACTCAAGAGACATAGATAAGATTCCAGATGCTTTAAGCCAGGTAAACCTTGTAAAATGTCATGCAACTATAGGTGAAAAATGATAAATTCCCAGGAGCTGCGCAGCCATGTTTCCTTCATAGCACTGAGAGACAGAGGGGAGGAGCTATTACATCACATTAGCTATTACATCACATTAGAGGTACAGAAAGCCAAGAAGGGCAAACTACAAAGCAAACATAGTATTATAGATGCATGCTGGGGCACAATTATTATATCGTATTATTATTAGTGTTGTATTACATTATAATATTTTATTAATATTATATGTATATACAATATATTATATTTTTACCACAGCACAATATTGGTATTATATATTACTATATTATTGCTGGTGGGAAGGTACTCCTAACTGATGGCCCAGGAGACATGGTAGAACTCTGTCTTCCTGGCTTCTCCTCTTCACTGAATCTCCCTTATCCAAAATGCCTGGGACCAGAGGTTTTTCAGGTTTTTTGGTGTGGTTTGTTTTGGTTTTTGGAACTCTTTTATTTGCATATACACAGTAAAGAAGGGAAAGGGGGCTAGTGGGCAACCGGTTTCCAGGTTGGCTGTGGATTCCTTGGGTTGGCCAGGGAACCAGAGCTTCCAAGAGGAAAATATTCCTATCTTCTAGTGAAAGTGATTCAATGGTTTAAAAATGCAAGCTAACATTAAATCCAGAAAAATGAGAGAGAACAAAGAAAGCTCTGAAATAAATAAAAACCCAAAACAGTCAGTCATAAGGGCAGAATATGAAAAAGAGAGGTACTATGATGGAGCCCAATCGTTTATGCTAAACATGCTCAGTATCTCTCGCGCTGGGACCGATTGAAGCATGATACAGAGATATCTTAAAGGCATAGGCAGCTTAGGAATGCTTACCCAATGACCAAATAACACCTAGATTTATGAAAACAATGATTCAAGTCATATCAACTGTACTTCTGCATTGAATCATTATTTTTACACTCTCTAAGATAAACCTTGTTTTCATCTCTCTATAAGGTATCTATCTATACATACCAGCATGTTTTCCTATCTGTATACATTCTCAATCAGCATTTCTTGACTCAGTATCTTGGGTCTTAACATGTGTAATTAAAATAAAACTTTTAAAATTCTTTGCTTCTAGTATCACAACTTGTCTATTTTCTTATGAAGTATGTCAATATTGTGAATGAATAATGTTTTTCATGAAGTGTAAGAAGTCTACCACTATATAGATGAGTTATAGCCATGTTATTTTGGTCATTAGCAGTCATTAATTTTTATAGCTGTCATCTATTTCTCTCCTAATGGCTTCAAATGAATACTTAACGTGCCTTTGATATTAAATTATGTTTTGTTTCAGTGTTGTTGCACGTCTTAGGATTTTAATGTAGATCATGTTTTTAATCAGCCATGGCTTACTAATTCTTTTTCATCAATGCACGTGGATTAGACATGATGCTGAAAACTTGAGACATGACATAATCTTGGTGAAATAATTGAAACAATGTCTGGTTTTTATTGGCAGGAAACTAATGCTGTACATGTAAATGTTGGAGCAGGCTCTTACTTGGAAGTTAATATTCCCATGACTGTAGCTGAAAATGGTAGGTTGAGACTCAATTCTGGAGTAATTTGTGTGATGATAGGCCTTCAGATATACTTACTCAGAGAATGGTCCAGTGCAGTGTTTCTCAACTTTCCTAATGTCATGACCTTATAATACAGTTTCCCAGATTGCGGTAACCCTAACCATAAAATGATTTTTGTTGCTACTTCATAACTGTAATTTTGCTACTGCTCTGATTCGTAATATAAATATCTGATGTGCAGGATGTATTTTCATTCACTGGACCAAATTTAGCGCAAATACCCGATGCACCCAAATTTGAATACTGGTGGGGTTGGTGGGATTGATTTTGTCATTTGGGAGTTGTAGTTGATGGGATTTATAGATCACTTACAACCAAAGAGCATTCTCAGTTCCACCAACGATGGAATTGAACCAAACGTGGCATATAGAATTCCCATGACCAACAGAAAATACTGGAAGAGTTTGATGGGCACTGACCTTGAGTTTTGGAGTTGTAGTTCACCTACATCTAGAGAGCACTGTGGACTCAAAAATGATGGAACTGGACCAAACTTGGCACAAATACTCAACATGCCCAAATTTGAACACTGGTGGAATTTGGGGAAAATAGACATTTGGGAGTTGTAGTTGCTGGGATTTATAGTTCACCTACAATCAAGGAGCATTCTGAACCCCACTAACGATAGAATTGGGCCAAACTTCCCAAACAGAACCTCCATGACCAACAGGAAATACTGTGTTTTCTGATGGTCCTTGGTGACTCCTTTGATACCCCCCACGACTCCCCCAGGGTTCCCAACCCCCAGGTTGAGAAACACTGGTCCAGTGGGATTTTGTGTCATGCACCTCTCTAAATAAATCAAGGGCATAATTCTAAGTGCTGGTTATGATCTTTAAAACCATATATGTCTTGGATGCATTATTAAAAATAATACAGTTGTATCATGTTAATGTGTAAACAGCTTTCATTCATTGTTAATTTTGGAGAGTGCATCAGTATTACAGCTTCATGCAATTAATTTAGGATCACGCTATACCAGTAAGAAGTCCATATGTTAAGTTCATATAAAGAAGCTGGATATTGAAATGTTATTGTACAGAAACCTCTGAAGATGTAAGTGAAATGAGGCATTCATTAAAAATTCTTGCAGTATGCAGCATCTCTTTCTTAACCATATAGATAGTTACCTAAAACCTATGATTTAAAATCACTTCAGTTTGCTTACCACTGTTATATAAAATGAGCCAGGGTGCTTTTGATAAAAAAATGGCTCAAATTGATTTTTTGGTTCTTTTTATTAGGTTACTCTCCCACTATTAAAGGACAGCTTTTACACATAGATGCTACCAGCAGCATGCAGTATCGAACTCTCTTAGAGGCAGAAATGTTAGCTGTAAGTATTGTGTAAAATCAGTTCAGTGCTTTAAAAATTCCATAAAGATTAGGAATAATTGTACCATCGTTATCAACATAAATGGTAATAATAATGGTAATTAATAGTGATACAATTATTAATATATGGAAGCTACAAGACATTTAATCTGGAATCTGTCATACTAGATAGTAACATAGGAAGTAACCTTATAGTGGATCAAATCATTTGTCAAATGAGCCTAATTCTGACGTTAACGGATAGCAATGATTAGATAGTGTTTCCAGCAAGTTGGGTTGTCAGAGGGCTCCTATATTTTTAATGTTTCTGTAGCAGGTGGAATTTCAGCAGTGGTTGCTTGCTACTTGGTTGCGTGACAAGCAACACCCAATGAAATTCTCTCTTCTACATAACCTTTAAAGGTATAAGAGCCTTTTCTGCTTTTAAATCTGTCAACCCTACTGATGGGATTCTTTCCTGGTTTCATCTGGAGATTCCTGATTTTTATTGACATGTAACCAAGGGTGGCATGACACTAAGGAGCGATAGGCAAGGTTGTGTGAATTCAAAGAAGACCACTTGAAGAAATACAGATCATAGAATCATATAATTATAGAATTTGAAGAGACCTCATGGGCCATCCAGTCTAACCCCCTACCAAGAAGCAGGAAAATTGAATTCAAAGCACCCCCTACAGATGGCCATCCAGCCTCTGTTTAAAAGCCTCCAAAGAAGGCGCCTCCACCACACTCTGGGGCAGAGAGTTCTACTGCCGAACAGTTCTCACAGTCAGGAAGTTCTTCCTAATGTTCAGATGGAATCTCCTTTCTTGTAGTTTGAAGCCATTGTTCTATGTCCTAGTCTCCAGGGCAGCAGAAAACAAGCTTGCTCCCACCTACCTATGACTTCCTCTCTCATACTTATACATGGCTATCATGTCTCCTCTCAGCCTTCTATTCTTCAGACTAAACATGCCCAGCTCTTTAAGCCACACCTCATAGGGCTTGTTCTCCAGACCCTTGATCATTTTAGTTTTAGATAGGCAAACTGCCCTTCTTCTTTGTGGTCTTTGTGAACCACACAGCTGGGCAACTGACAAGCTATCAGGCCAACCAGGTGTTACACCACAAGCATGACCAGAGTTTCAAACATAACATAAAGGTTTCATAACATGTTCTCAGAATATACTGAAATCTAACTTGGATATGTATGATCACATTGACATATCCAAGAAAAGTATGACTGTCCATACTTACAATCGTGATGTGAGAATCTCCTTTTATGTTCCATCATGTGCAGATAGTGGTGTTGATTCCACAAAGAGCAAACCCTTTCCTGTAATAGTCCCAGTGTTCTAGAATTTATTTGAGAAAATTCCATTATGACTTATATTTGGGTTTTTTTTTACATCACAATAAAACAATGGTTTGTTTAACTGCTCCTGCCACAAGTGCAAGTTTTCGAGCAGCATACAGTAGTATCTTGCCCATAAGTAATAAACTAGCAGTCTTGCATACCGCTGGCTTGTTTGTTTTGTTTGAATGCATCCATGAGCAGCTCATACTTCCTGTTTCCATTTCTCAGTACTTCCTAAATCTTCTAATACATCTTCTAATTCATCTATTAGCCATGAGAGTACTCTTTATACCAGATCAAGCTTTCCAATCTCATTACAGTATAAATCAATTATATAATGGACATTATGTGCATATGTATGTACCTCCAAGTTGACTGTTGACATGGTGACCCCAGTAATTTCATTCCTTAAGCAAGGAATATGCAGAAGTAGTTCTCCCATCTAAGTACTACCCAAGGCTTACCCTACGTAGCTTCCAAGTTGGTTTTACTGATGGGTCTTTGGACCATAATAAATATTGTTGCTGTTGTTGTTGTTGTTGTTGTGTAGCTTCCAATATCAGATTAAATTTGGTATCTTTAAGGTATTTAGGACAATGGGTTTTGTTGTAGGCTAATGTAAAAATAACGTTTTCTATTTTGAAGCCTTAAGACTAAAACCAAATAGTAAATATAATCTAATTTGAACTCATATATGGAGGGTTTTTCTATGAACATTGACATGTTTTTCATTTAATTATGGCTGTCAATCATATATTTTCATATATTGAATAAACAATGCTGGTTGTGTATTTTGCTCAGTTTCACATTAATGCCTGCTATCCCCGAATATGGAACATGCCACAGACATGGCAGTGTGAAGTTGAAGTTTATAAGGCAACATACCATTTCATCTTTGCTCAAAAAAGCTTTTTCACAGGTAACCTTTCTATTTTTGTGTTATATATAATTGCATATTTTTCCAAACAAATATCAGCTTCAGTGTTATCTTACAATATATTTATTTCTGTTCAGTCAATATTGTTGTGCTCAGTCTGGATCTTACCCTTTGTTTACAGTTTCACAAATGCAGGCATTATCTGTATTTGTATTTCCAGTTCATTTTTTAGAGGGCCTGAGCCAAACATGAATTCAAAACAAATGCGTGATAATTGTCGGTTGTGCTTGCAAATTCCAATGAAATAATTAAAATTTGAAAACTATTTAGTATTAATAATTTGACAACCCATTAAAGTAGATTCTGTCCCATCTGAATGTATGTACTTAAATAGACAAAGTCTGTCTCGTGATGGTATGGGAGAGTAATCCACTAACACTGGGTTTATCTCACTTGCCAACCAACTAGGCAAGACTATGTTCTTTTTAGTTATATCTGAAATATATTGTGTCAGTCTCATTTTCCTGCTTGAATAAGATACCATACCACACAAAAAGTTAATATTTTACCACTTTGGCAAGCATGTGAAACTATTCTTAGTGTTTCAATTCAAACCAAAGCTAATACATTAGAATTCTTAAATTTGATTGTGAAATGATATTGTGAAGAAGGTTGTGAATTGCAATCCAACAATATCTGAAGTACCCAATGTGCCACTTTCTGTGCATGCTTAGCTGGAGTAAGCCTGAATGAACTTACACTGTATGAAGTACCCAAAATAGAGCATGTTTATAGTATGTAAATGGCCCAAGTTCTAAGGAGGAGAATTTCGAAATCGGTGTTTTGTCTCTACCCTCTCCCTTTTAATTTGATTGTATTGCAGCAAAAATGTTTTGTGATTGAATAACTGGTAAGTGGGACTGTTATTTTATGATACAGGTCATGTACATTTAGACTGCAGGTAGAATTTTCTTGCTGAATCTTAGCAGTCAACAGAAGAGTTGATGCATCTTTTCTAATTTAGCTAGATATAATTGGTTTTACAAATTAGCCTATTTTCATCACTTTGACCTACAGAAACATGTCCCTTTTATTTTTAGATTTGATTCAGGATTGGTCGAGTGACAGCGCTCCTGATATTTTCTCATTTGTTCCCTATTCGTGGAATTTTAAAATAATGTTCCATCAGTTTGAAATGCTTTGGGCAGCCAATCAGCACAATTGGATTGATTGTTCCACAAAACAACAAGAAAATGGTGAGAACTGAATGTTTTGTAGTGGACCTAATATGTTCTTTTATATGTATACTTAACAAATGCAGCCCTATCTCATAGTGGCAGTTTCAGCATTCCTACTGCTTGAGGCAGAAAAACCAATTCTTCTGCTACCATCCTGTATGCAGCATAGTTCCATACTCCATACTATATTGCTACCTTTAGCTGTGTCCATCCCTTAACTCAGAGGGTGAGATATAGAGTGGGAGATCTGTGTGTAGAAATGTGTGAGCTAATCTTGTGCATTTGCATAGAATTGCTTTCTGTTTCCATTTGTTTCATTCGTAAGACCATCATTTTGGTTTTTGAGCGCCTCCCCCGAAAACGGGTGCCTTTATGAATTAGCTTTTTTGTTCCAAATCCAAAAGAACAAAAAATGTGGACCATTGGCCAACATGGGCGGCTTTCCCAGGCTCCCCCTTCCCTCAGTTTTAGGGCTAGAGGGGTGAATTACTGAATGACTATGTCACAAAATGTCACTTTTAGGAGGTAATTCATATTTTATTTTTCCTCCTCTTCCCTTGTAGTTTATGTGGCAGCCTGTGGGGAAACATTAAACATCATTTTCTCTTTGCCTTTTACTGACTTTGTTCCAAGCACATGCAGTACAAGATTCTCTTTAAGGGTAGGTGCCTTTGTTCTCTTTCAAATAAACTGCACATATATGTAGTATTTGTTATAATAGTACCTGGTTATAGTATTGGTTTGGTCCTTATTGTGATCAAAGAAACCTTTTATGTTTAGGTTTTCTCTTCTTTAAAGTAGACTAATTGGAAAAGTGGCAGTGCTTGATAGAATAGAATGCAGTAGGGAAATGGAAAACTGAACTAAATGTGAGTTGCTTCTGTCAAGGAAGGGCTGACTCTGAGTTTGCAAAGCTTATATTAGGGTCCTTGATATCCATGTTAGCAATGTAGTTTTATCTCTTGCTTTAGGAGAATCTTCTCATAAGCGCAGCAGCACATTCAGGTAGTTCCTGAGTTACAAACATCTGACTTACAAATGACTCATAGCTAAGAACGGGGGTGAGACAACATGAAGTGAGAGAAATCTACTGCTTGGAAGGGAAATTCACTCATGAAAGAGTTTTGATTGGAAAAAGGTGTCTCCACTGAAGCTTTAGTTTCCACAAGCCATTTTTTTCAAAATCCAATTTATCACAGGGACAGGAAGTGGGGTAAATTCTTCTGAACAGGGGCACAGACAGCAAAACAAACACCACATGACTGTTAACCCTTCCCTGTGGTATCGAAAGCTTTTATACACACACATACACACACACACATCTGAAGTTACACTTAAAAGTATATATGTTCCAACTTACATTCACATTCAACTTAAGAACAAACCTAAATAACATATCTTATTCATAACTTGGGCACTGCCTGTTTATTCTATGATGAATGATAATTTGGATAATTTTATAAAATTCTGTGGTATTAACGCAGTGCCTGTTGTATGACTTTGATTAGAGCAATATCAGTAGTAGCAAAAAAAAAGTCTGTGTACATGCTTTACAACTATCTTGGAGTGGTAGTTATATTTTCTTTAGACTGCAGAATGCATACATGTTACATTTATGAAAAAAATATTAATAATTTTACAGAAATACTAAAAAAATCCCTGTAAACATATTTTAAAGTTTAAATTTAACTTCCTTCTGTTAATAAAATTGCTTCAATTTTTATCTGCATATGAATGCATAGCCATCCCCCTCCCCTGGTGGCGCAGCGGATTAAACCACTGAGGTGCTGAACTTGCTGACGAAAAGGTCGGCGGTTCGAATCTGGGGAGCAGGGTGAGCCCCTCCTGTTAGCCCCAGCTTCTGCCCACCTAACAGTTCGAAAACATGCAAATGTGAATAGATCAATAAATACTGCTTCATTGGGAAGGTAACTGTGCTCCATGTAGTCAGTTTGGCCACATGACCTAGGAGGCATCTACAGAGAATGCCAACTCTTTGACTTAGAAATTGAAATGAGCACCACCTAGAGTTGGACACAACTAGACTTAATGTCAGGGGAAACCTTTACCTTTAGCTCACATGCATAGAATAATTGTCATAGTCCTGTAAGAAAATGCATTTTTGTTACTGCTTTGAAACTTTTTATCACTATTGTATGGAATTTGATATTAATACTGTTTCTTTTAGGGAGAAGGTCTTGATCTTCACTTGCTTCTACCTGACTGCCATCCTAGTAAATATTCTCTCTTTATGCTGGTGAAAGATTGTCATTCTAACAAACTGAATCCAGAGTCTTGTGTTTCTGCTGATAGTCAGAGTGGTCAAAAACAAAGCAAATTAAGGTGGAGGAACGTAACTCAAGAAGAGTGAGTTTTATTCTCATACTAAGGTTCCAACGTGTATGGGGTTGCTTGGTTTTTCTCTTTCTTAAGGGGTGGTAAATAGAGCAGTGAACCATTTTTTGTTTTTGTTTTTTGTTTTCTAAGGGCTGGCTGGGTTGAATGCTGGACTGTGCCAAGTGTAATGCTCACAATTGATTATGTGTGGCATCCAATTTATCCTCAGAAAGCTGATGAACAGTTAAAGCAGTCATGTAAGCATCATTTTGTTCCTTTTATACTATGTTGAACAGGATATAGTTACTGTTTTAAGCATTTTGATTTTTTTTTGTCTAACCAGCATAAGTTGAAAATCAGAAAAAATGGCTATGGGTCATGCTGTTCTGTAGTCTTCTTTTCAACTTGAAATTGATTCACTTACAGAATCAAGTCTGAACTTTATAGATTGAATATGAGTCCTTCTCACCTGCTTGAGCTGTACCTGATACTGTTTTGAACCTAAAATGCTAGAGTATAAGTTTGATTGATTAATTGTCCCAGTGTGTTTCAAGTCCTGTGTCTCTTTTTGTGGGACAATTAGTTTAATCTGCGTTTTTGGTCCTTTTCGTATTACATAATGATAGCACTCTGTAATTGCATGACTCCTTCCTATGTAATCATGGGAAATAAAGTTTAAAGAAAGGTAATTAAAATTCTCTGTTAGAGACCTCTAGTGCCTCACTAAACCACCAAATCCAGGATTCTGCAACATGTAGAGTTAAAATGGAATATTCTGCTGTTGTTGTGTAATGTGAAAAAGCCCGAACAATAACTAACACAGTCTTCTAGCCTAGTGGCGCAGTTGGTTAAACCACTGAGCTGCTAAACTTGCTGACCAAAAGGTTAGCGGTTCAAACCCAGGGAGTGGGGTGAGCTGCCATTGTTAGCCCCAGCTTCTGCCAACCTAGCTGTTTGAAAACATGCAAATGTGAGTATGCCAATAAGTACCGCTTCTGCAGGAAGGTAACGGTGCTTCATGCAGTCATGCTGGCCACATGAACAGGTGTCTATGGACAATGCCGGCGCTTCGGCTTAGAAATGGAGATGAGCACCACCCCCCAGAGTTGAACACGACTAGACTTAATATCAGGGGAAACCTTTACGTTTACTAGCACAATAATAAATTAGTCTTTCTCCCCTCTGATGACTCTAGTTGTACGTTCACTGACCCAAATATAGTACGAAAGGAAGTGCTGATCAGAGAATCATGTATACAACTCCCACAGCCCTTTTAATATTTTTACATGCAGTTTTCAATGTATGATTTATTGAATGTATTGCTTCTTCTAACTCATACTGCTTGCTCAAAGAATGTCACATACCATTACCACTAGTTTATGATATATAGCGAGGAGAAAGTATAGAAATTGCTTCTTAAAAAATATACATGTTTAAATATATACAATATTTATTGAAATAAGCTTCTTTTTAAAATTTCATAATACACATCCAATCTTGGTGAATATGTTTATGATTTAAACATTACCAACTTTTATCATTACTACGTATGATATTTGAGAGGGGGGATTTGCTTATTGTAGGTTTTAGGAATTTGTAGAATTTTATTAAAAATAGAAGTGTCATTTTATAATAGTATTTAAAGGGAATAAAATTAAAGAGATAAAAATCAGTATACAGTGAATGAGAGATCGTAGACTAGTTTATGTTTCATAATATTGTTCCTTTTCTGTAGGTGTCTGTCCTTGTCTGTATTTACGTTTTTTTACCTGCAGTACAGCTTTACTAACAGGGTAGTATTAGTAGTTAGAATTTAGAGAAGTGGTTCTTTCAAAAAATATCAAAACTTGCCATTTGTATAAATATGCTTGTTTTGTTTCATTTTTGAAAAATAAACAGTGTAAACATGTAAACATTACCAATCTAGAGTGACATTTTGTTGAGTTTGTTTCATTTTGTGGCACTATAAACCAGCAAACTGCTTATTTCTGGCTTGGATTTTTTTCACTTTTTATTTACTCCATAGTGTCAGAAATGGAAGAGTCAGTCTTGTCTGCATTGAGGCCATCACAAAAGATGACAGATAAGGGCATATCTCCTTCAGGTTCTTCCCGTCAACCTGTTGATCCCTCAGAACTGCCACCTGACAAGCTCCGGGTAGAACTGGAGCTCTCCCCAGACTCCCAGATGACTCTGTATGGACCTCTTTTGAAAGCCTTCCTTTCTATAAAGGTAGAGACATCTCTTTGAATTCATACAAGACAAAGAACTAATTATTAAAGCATTTTTCATCTGGACATCACAAATTGTACTTTGTGAATGAAAGGAAAGATGGGACTGATTTGGGGAAGAGGGTTTGATGCTTCAATGGAGATATGAACCAAATTTCATCTGCCTTCATTTCACTGACTATTAATGTGAACTGTGTAGATTACCAGTTGTTTGCACTTGTTTCACTTTACACAGTTGGTGTAATACATGCTTTGTAAATAAACTTTACCTGGTAGCTCAGTGGGATAAATGGTTGACCTGCTGAACTTGCTGACCGAAAGGTTGGCGGTTCGAATCTGGGGAGCAGGGTGAGCTCCCGCTGTTAGGCCCAGCCTCTGCCAACCTAGCAGTTTGAAAACATGCAAATGTGAGCAGATCAGTAGGTACCACTTCTGTGGGAAGGTAATGGTGCTCCATGCAGTCATGCTGGCCACATGACACTCAATGTCAGGGGAAACCTTTACCTTTTATCACCACACCTAACTTCTTAACTATTTAAAATGCTTGATAATGAGAAGCCTTTGGTTCTAATGGTGCTTATTATACTGGCTATTCCTTTTTAAAAAATAAGTAAAAGTATTCTTAAGTGAACGACAGGTGTAGAACTGTATTGAAACATGGAGGTTGGTGTTATACTCCTTTATGCTAAGAGTTGCTAATTCATCCCAACAGGAAAATTATTTTGGTGAAGATGATATGTACACCGATTTTGAGGAGGTTATTTCAAGCCCAGTATTGTCCATGTCAACCTCTTCAAGTTCTGGATGGACTGCAGTAGGAGTGGATGCTGACAAAAGGGAGAATGACACATCAGGCAGACAGGCTCACCCTCTTACTCTGCGTCCATGGGACATTACTGTGCTTGTTAATGTGTACAAAGTACACGGGCGGCTGCCGGTGGTAAGTAATCTAAGTGTGTTGCCTGATTAAAAGCATCAAGTGTGCAATAATTTTGTTAAAACATGCATTTATACAGAGAAATACAGTTGCTGACTTGGGTCTATTGGCTATATTTGACTCTTGGAGCATTCCCATTTTTTGTATGGGGACATGGATATCTTAGAAACTGTTTTAATTTTTCTCAACATGTATTTGCATGGGGATTTCGTTTGTAATGTCCTCTTATCACATTTTCTTTTAAGACAGTGTTTCTCAACCTGTGCATCCCCAGGTGTCTTGGCCTACAACTCCCAGAAATCCCAGCCAGTTTACCAGCTGTTAGGATTTTTGGGAGCTGAAGGCCAAAACATCTGGGGACCCACAGGTTGAGAACCACTGTTGTCTCTAGTAGTCCATATTGCAGCTCTTCTTGCAAATAACCACTAATCAAAGCAATTGACTGTTTTTTTGCCACAAGACAGCAGGTAACAATTTGCTTCCAATTAGTTGTATTCTGTGAGTGTTAACTTTTCAAGATTTCAATAGCTTTGGGTTTAATATTGCTTTAAATGATAATAAAACAAAGGGGTAAAAAAGTTTACAATGATCATTGGTTCATATGTAATTATCTGATGTTTGATTTTTGTCAGCTGTCTTGAAGAGGAGAAAGTTTGGGTGGCTCTAAGTCAGTAGTTCCCAACCTTTTTTTTTTACCGGGTTCCACTTGAACAGGGACCATTTTGACCAAAGACCACTCTCCAACATTAGTGCCAAAAGGATTACAAATCAGTTTTTGGTCACCTTTAGATTCATTTTAGTTGCTTGGGGTGCTGATTCCAAACATTGCATTGGATAGATGCCATCAGCTCTTGTTTCTCATACAGAACATATACCATCCAGTAGTTGCCATCTATTCTCCCACAGAAAACCATATTTAATAATCTAGAGCTGATGTGGTAGTAGTAATCTTTCGTGGTTAGTCAGCCCTTCCCCTCCCGACATCCCTGTTGCCTCGGCACTATAAGAAGGTTTCGTGAGACCAGTCGCTCTCGTTGCCGCATGGTTTCGAGGCAACAGTGTGGTAATGGTGAGACCGCAGATCCTATTTTCATTCTTGGGGACCACTGGTGGTCCACAGACCATAGGTTGGGAGCCACTGCTTTAAGTGCTTTAAATGGAGAAATCATGTGGAGCCAAAGTTGCCAGTTACCCCCAATGTGCAGTGTTTCTGATATTTTGGCGTACAGCTCTCATCTTCTACCAGCATGAACTCTAACCACATCTGTAGGACCACATGTGTTCGAAAGGCTACCCCTTCCTTTCTTCTGGAGAATTTTATTAAGACTTGAGCTTGGTGTCTGAGAACAGTATAAAATTATTCAAGACTGCCCAGGTTAATCGCAGAATAAGTAATTTTGATTAAGTTATTAAGAACTGTGGTAATTGAATAATATTATACATAGTTTTTTTTAATAATCTAGCAATTTGAGTATTGTTGATATTCTGATTAATGGTGATGACACTTATAATGTCTTGTTCTTTAGCACTGTGGCAGCGATGGCCCTGAATGTCCTACAGGCTTTCTGGAAAGGCTATGTTTTGAGATGAAGAAAGGATACAAAGAAACTATGTTACAGCTTGTATTGTCACCAATGAATTTATTCTTGAATGACAATTATCAGGTAGCGTGACCTCATTTGTAAATCCATTGTATTAGAAATCTCACCTTCATCTAACTTTCTCTGGAATTAGATGCTTTCAAATCTGCTTGGTATAAAACAACCAAGAAAAGTACACTGAAGTACTAACTGGTCTAAATTCAGTTATTAGTCTAAATCAGTTGAATCAATGTAAATTATATAAGTGCTGTTTTCCATGTTCCTATTTGTTCTGTGGGTATATCATCATTAGGGTTAAGGTTAACTATGGACTATAGGCTTCTGATTTTATAATTTTGCATTTATTTTCTAGCTCCATCTTGTAAATTTACAGTGCTAATTTATAAATGTATCAACAGAAAATCCCATTTAATTCAGTCTAGCTTAATCTGAAGGTACAGAGTGGCAGCCAAAAGATGTGTGGCCAATTTTATATTAATCTTCATCCAGATAAAATGGTTGACTCGATTTTCACAGATAAATAGAAGTGAAAAATATCTTGATCTAATTGTTACAGACTTTGCAATTTGAGTGATGTAATTCTAACTTCTGCATATTTTATGATCCACTAAATGCGTACATTATTATTTCATGGGAAGACACATTAATATATAATACAGGCAGTCCCCAAGATACAAACCAGATGTGTTCTGTAGGTTTGTAAGTTGGTACAGTTATGTTTTTAAGTGTAATTCCAGCCATATAGCATCCTTGTGGTGTTTATTTTGCTGTCAGTGCCCCTGTTCAGAAGATTTCACCTCACTTTCGGTCCAGTGATAATTGGATTTTCAAAAATTCGTCTGTTGTGCAAACAAGGTTTGGTGCTAAAGCTTCAGCGAAGACCCCTTTCCCCCATGAAAACTCTTCCAGGAGTGAATTTCCCTTCCTGGGAGTAGATTTCTCTCACTTCCTGTTGTATCACCCCCGTTCTTAACTATGAGTCATTTCTAAGTCGGATGTTTGTAACTCGGAGACTGCCTGTAGTCAAAAAATGCTAGTCTCTAATTTATAACTGCATAGCTTGTTTCAGTTGTTCTCCAGCTCCAAAGATAAATCTTTCATTTTCAATAGAGGCCAACTGCAGATGAAGTGCTTCGAGAGGGTCATTTGAGCCTTTCTGGTCTGCAGCTCCGGGCTCATGCCATGTTCTCAGCAGAAGGGTTGCCTCTGGGAACTGACTCCTTAGAATATGCTTGGCTGATTGATGTTCAAGCTGGAAGCCTTTCAGCTAAGGTTACAGTTCCACAGGTATGACACCTCGCTTCAGAATTGAATGTGTGCACTGTTTTCTTAGCTTAGAGTTTGTATATATGGAATAGTAAGAAGTAATAGGAGGAGGGAGGACTATAACCCACCCATCCCCACCCCGCTGCTCCTTTTTTAAAGCAATAGATATGAAGGGAAGTCTTCATTTTCTGTCCAATGTGAACTGACATTCCAAATTTAAAAGCAGAAAGGACTTTTCAAAAATCTAATGTTGATAGTATACACTGTGATATTCATATGTTCACTGCCATTTATGTTTCAACGGTGTAAGAAATGGTAAAATTGAGATGGTCATCATTTAAAAACTGTGAAGAAAGAGATGTGTTGCAAATGTCCTCTTTAGTATAACTTCCTATATTTAGAACAACCAAGATTTCAAATATAAATTCTTTTCTGAAATAGTTAAATATGGCTGAAGCATTTTAGCATTCAGTATATTTTAGTGAGAACAGCATAATAGCTTGTAGTAATATGCTTACTAAAGAAAGGTTTCTCAACAAAGTGCTGCTTCACATTCTCTAGGGAATAAAATGGTTGTGATAATTGACTGCATTGCAGGAAACTCGACCAAAATGTCCTGAGGCTTCTTTTCAACTTGAATTGACATTTTAAACTTCAAGGAGCAATTTGTTACCCTAAAATATAGCAGAGCACCCAAAAACAAACAGGATACAAAAGTTGCGCGTTCAGCTTACAGAATGCGAAACGTGAAGTGCCATGTGATGTGGCTGTAAAGAATTTAGAGCTTAGGAGGCAAACATGCAGAGTCCTGTCTTTAAAAATCACAAAACGTTTATTTACATAATAAAGAACTGGATTTCTCAACAATTAAAGAACTCGATCCGATCTACTCCAGCTCCCATCTCTTCTAAGGTTTCAAAGAGAGGGAAAAAAACAGCAATCACTGCATCTCTCCTGACACACACTTAGAGAGAGGTCTCAAAGCACACAGCACATACTCTCCATACTGAAGTGTAAAAAGGCAGAAGTCAGATTCAAATATACGTGCAGTAGAAAAGTCTCAATTTTAAACAACCAATCAGAATGAGAACAGGAAGAGAGAAGAAAAAAATACATTCCCAACTATCATAAAGGAAACATGGGGGAAGGGAAACCCTCAAACTAATCTAATGCTAACTTACTAACTTCTTCTTGATGAGGATTTGAGACTTGGGCAGTGTGGGGTTGAATCCAAACACAATTCACTTATAACTGTTAGATCCTTTGGCAGCCACTCATACAAGCCTTTGGTGGATTGGTAGTTCTTTAAATGCATATCTGAGTAAGCTGAATTTTACATTCTAGAGATGATAATATTCCACTGTTGATATTTTCAGTCTTTTTCTCATGCTTTAGTGCAAATTTAAATGCTGAGACTAAGCTCCATCTTGAAGAATTCCACAAATGAACAAATTTAAAATCAGCTAAGGGCTTGAATTTAAAATACAGAATGCATAAATCTTCATTACAGTTTGCATTTGTTTGTATTTTACAAGTTCACTCAAAAACTTTTACTTGGGAATAAAAAAATAATGTTAGTGAAATAACTATTCCGCTATTCCCTTTTTCTTTATAAATAATTTCAACTAAACCCATGGTGGATTGGACTGAAGATGTTTTTCAAATCAGATAGATGATCCTTCTTTCTAATTTCTAAAATTGCCTCCTGTTGGCAGATCAAGGATGCAGTCATTGCAGTTTTGAGTACAAATTGGGTTTGTGTAATGGGACTAAGTATTGGAACAGGAAACAATTTTTATTAGTTCTGAAACTCTTCAGATTCAATTACGGCAATAGTTTCTGTCCAGTCAAAATGTTTTTTTTTTTATCTGTGTGCAGCTTGCATGCCTGCTTGAGTGGGGACAAACGTTTGTGTTTCATGTGGTATGCCGTGAATTTGAACTGGAAAGACCAAAGTCTGTAATCATATGTCAGCATGGAATTGATCGCCGCTTCTGTGAAGCTAAGGTAATGCATATGATTTTGTATTCTCTAACTGCAATTCAATTAGAGCGTTACATAAGAAGCATCGTCAAAACACATGAAACTTAATAATCTTATAACTGCATTAGTAATTGAAGTATATATTATCTTTTTTAAAGCCTTTAAGGAATAGAAGTGATATAAGGTGGCAACTGATATTTTTTTAATATATTCAGCTGCATTATAATAGATGATGATAAGAAGTTTTAGAACTGGAGTTTATGTTTTGATTTGTGAATCAGCATAGTAGGGCTGCACTTTGTAGATATTCTCTTAGGCAGTGGTTCCCAACCTTTTTTTGACTAGGGACCACTTGAACAGGGGCCACTCTCCAACATTAGTACCAAAAGTGTTACGAATCAGTTTTTGTCTACTTTAGATTCAGTTTAGTTATTTGGGGTGCTGATTCAGAAAATTGTATTAGACAGACTACATCTGTTTCTGATACAGAACATATACCATCCAGTATATGTAGTTGCCATCTACTCGCCCACAGAAAACCATATTTAATAATCTAGAGCTGATGTGGTCTATCCAATGCAATTTTCTGAATCAGCACCTCTGATAACCCCAGGAAGTGGCCTAAAAATGAAGACACCAAGGCACCCCCACTTCCTGGTGCCATGTGGAACGGCTCCGCTCGGGAAGGGAGAAGGAGGAGAAGCAGCAGTCAGGAAGCTTGTTGTCACATCTTTCGTGGGTAGTCAGCCTTTCCCCTCCCAACATCCCAGTTGCCTTTGCACTATAAGAAGGTTTTGCAGGGTGAGTCACTCTCGTTGCAAAGGTGTAGTAACGGTGAGGCTGTGGACCATATTTTAGTTCTTGGGGACAACTGGTGGTCCATGGACCACAGGTTGGGAACCACTGCTCGAAGGCATCTATCAAGTTGACTATATGAACTGCACCATTTTGTGTTACTCCCTTCTCTCCATCTTAGAGTTTATCCAAAATACTTCCCTCCAAATATGGCAAATTGCATCATCCTTAACTGTGTTTCATGTGTATCCCAATCCTGTTTACGCCTAGTTTTGGAAGTACACATATATGTGGACAGGTGTGAATGGGATTGCATATTTGGTTAGGATGAAATTCTCAGTAAAAAGCTATGGAATATTGTTGTATGTGTGCCTTCAAGTAGTTTTTGACTTTTGGTAACCTTATGGCAAACCTATCTTGGGTTTTTCTTGGCAAAAATTTCCCTTCCTCTGAAGCTAAGAGAATATGACTTGCCCAAGGTCACCAAGTGAGTTTCCATGGCTGAGCAGGGATTCAAACTCTGGTCTCCATAGTCACACTCTGGCTCCCAGCACATTTTATCATTTAAAAATACTGTTCCCATTCATTTCAAAGGAATAATCACTTATCCCTTTTGTCTTTTTTAAACTTGAAGTAGAATTAATTCACAGCAAGAATGGTATATGATTATATATTCTGTTTCACATATTCTGCAGATAAGTTGCATTTCTGGCCCTTGTCCAACATCTGATGAATTGAAGTACACAATGACTCGCCTGGCAGTAGATGGGGCAGATATATTCATTGTAGAACATGGTTGCGCCACAAATGTAAAGGTGGGAATATTCTTTTATGCCATTTAATTTTGTGATTATTTTATAACATTAGTTCGTTGTTTCCTGTAATCTGAGTTGTATATATTGCATGCAGAATGGATTTGCTCAAATATTGACTACTCTGTAGGGCATTCTGAGAGATAAAAGCATTTTACTTGCATTTGCATTTAATACGGAAAGCATTATGTGTTTTATTGGAAGGCTAAGGCACAGTTTAAAGATCTTCTGTTTCAAGCCATGTAATCTGCAGATGCTCATTTTATTTTTTTGTAGAGAAGAAAATGCTTTGAGTATTATGCTCTTCATTAAAAAAGAATCATGTCTGAAAGCGGAGAAAGCGGACTCCTGTAGTTTTGTAACTTCTGAAACATTGTTCTGCATTTAATTTGACTCTTCAGCTGGCTGTGATGTGATAGCTGCCAGGCTTAATTCACACCATAATTTTAATCAGTTAGTGAACATTTTATTTCATGTACTTTTTATTAACCCAGAAGGGTAAATAGTATCCTTCTTATTTGCACGAAGAAGAGACCCTGTCAAGAATAACATCTAGTCACATCTACAAACAGGATTTCAGGGTCATGAGGAATTTTTATTAGCGGGTGGAGAAAAAAGTGACCCTAAATCAACAACAGCAACAATAATAATTCTCTAATATTCCTTCCCCTTCCATTGGGCACTGTGTTATGTTTAATTTTCCCCCATTCACTTTTAGATGGGTGCTGTGCGCATTGCCAACTGTAACCTCCACAATCAGTCTGTTGGCGAGGGGATAAGTGCTGCCATCCAAGACCTTCAACTTAGGCAATACATTGAGCAAGCAAACAATTGCCGGATTGGTCTTCAACCAACAGTGTTGCGGAGGGCATATTGGCTGGAAGCAGGGTCAGTCAATTTGGGCCTTATCACCGCTGATATTGCCTTGGCAGCTGATCATCATTCTAAGCATGAAGCACAGAGGCATTTTTTGGAAACTCATGACAGCAGGACCAAAAGGTAAGGGAAAATTCTTGATATTACTGTGAAGATGGTATGTGTAGATATCCTTAATAAATGGTTAACTGGTCTTTAGAAGAGCATAAGCAACTCAGGTATAAAGTATAGACTGTTGAGCTTTTTAAAAACTTTTTATCAAATCATATAAATTGATTACAGCAGTAATTTGTTGTCTTTGCCTTTAGTAATTTCAAATTGATGTGACCTCGAGTCTAAACGAATCTACTAGTTCAGTTTAATTCAGATTTGGAAGGTTTCAGGGGAGATTTCGATTTTGAAAGGTCCCTGAATCCTCTGAAAAAGATTTCTGAGTGGTCTCCATTTTGCAATGGTCATGGTGGTTTTGTGTGCCAAATGTGGTCCAGGTTCATTGTCGGGGGTGGGGGGGGGGTCACAGTGCTCTGTTTTGGTGCAGAGGGAATTCCAACTTCCATCAAGTTGAGTCAGGCCCCCAAACCCCTCTAGTATGTTCAATTGCTGATCAATTCTTCTCTGTTTGCTGTGCACCATAGAAAAGAGTAGGAAAGGGTTATGGAAGAAGCAATGGGCGGGATCATGCAAATTTCACATCAATGAAGAGATTCAGAAAGACTGAGATGTTTGTGGAGGAGTAAACACATAAAATTGAGGATGAAATTGTTCCCATATGAAAGCATTTACTTGGGTGTTGGGCAGTCTTGTGTTTGTGGAGGACACTGGCAGGGATTGTATATGTTCATGGTGCTCGCTATAACCTGCAATTTCATTGGAGAGAGGGCTTTTGGTGGCTCCTCATAGGTGGGGATCATAGCTCTTTGTGGAAGTGGGAGTCTGTCTGTGAAAGTGGGCACCCCAGCCACACACATACATACATATTTTCACTTTTATTATGTATCTAGATTACATAATTAAAATAAAACGTGTGTAGATAATCTTATCAAGTTTAGCATTTCTAAATTGGTGTGATCCACCATACCTGAATGGACAGTAAATAATATGCAAGAATTTCTGCAGAGCTTTTTAGCTGAATAGTACCTGGAATTTGATTGCTTTCTTGAGTCATGCTTTATTTTCTCCCCCAGATTATGGTTTTTATGGCCAGATGATAATATAAAGAACAAGAGAAGCAAGAACAAGTGTGGCTGTCTTGGCGGCTGTAGGTTTTTTGGTGGCACAGTTTCAGGATTAGACTTCTTCAAACTTGAAGAGTTGACGCCATCAAGTAGTTCTGCTTTTTCAAGTACAAGCGCAGAATCGGATATGTTTTATGGACAATCTTTGCTACAGCCGGGAGAATGGATTATCACCAAAGAGCTTCCCAAAATTGTAGATGGTAATGTTTGTGTATATGTGTGTACAAAAAAATGTGTATCCTCAGCCACATGTCAGCATATTTAGGAGTATCTTAAACTTCTTTATAAATGATCTTCTACCTAACCCAAGCTAACCAGAAACTTAACATATCATAAAATTGTTAGCAAAAAACTACACTAAAATAAAGCAGAGCATCCAAAAACAAACAGGATATGAAAGTTGAGCATCAGCTCATTAATGAGCATAGCGCGAAGTGCCGTGTGATGTGGCTGTAAAGAATTAAGAGCTTAGGCAGGCAAAGATATGGAGTCCAATCTCTAAAAATAAATAACAAAAAGGTGTATTTACAATAAGAAATAATTGCATTTCTTAACAATCAAGAACTGGGGCTGAGCTACTCTCACAACCTAAGGTTTCAAGAGAGAGTTTAAAACTCAATCACTAAATCTCTCCTGAAACACAAGCAGAGAGAGATTTCAAAGCACACAGCATATACTCTCCATATTAAAGTGTAAGAAGGCAGAAATCAGATTCAAAAAGGTTTGCAGTAGAAAAGTATCCATTTTAAACAACCAGTCAGAATGAGAGCAGAAACTGAGAGGAGAGAAGAAATATATATATTCTCAACTGTCATACAGAAGACACTAACTACTCCTCGTTGAGGACTTGAGACAGGCAGTGTGGGGTTGAATTCCAACAAAAATAACAGGAGATATTGAGGAAAAGGTTGAAATTTTCATTGAAACTATGTCATATTATACATAAATGCACAATTAAACTAGTTTACATGACTATAGGTGATAATAATATACTGTATTAAAAAGGCATATCAGTCTTGTTTGCTTTTATATATTGTAAGAGCTATATATAAATTAATATTCAGCACATTTATCCCTCTGTTTAGAAATCCTAGTCCCAGGGAAGCGAAAATTGCTGCTACACTATATACTGCTATATAGGATAAAATAACAACTTGCTTTGTTCTTAGGTAAAGCAAATAGTGTTAAAAGGAAGGAATGGGAGTGCCGATCTGTAGGAATGGAATCGGAAAGAAAATCTCAGCACCTGAACTTGCAAGTGCCGCTGCGTTCTCATAGCTCCTCCTCGTCTTCAGAAGAGAACAGTAGTTCTAGTGCTGCACTCCCCTTGCTTGGAGGTGATAGGGAAAGCCCTTCTTCTGCGGCTGAAGACCACGTAGGGCAAAAAGAATTCTTGGTAACTTCCAAAAGAGAAGATATCCATGGAAGGTGAATAAGCTCGCTCTCAACTGGAGTTGACTCTAACACAGAGGTTTGGGTATTGAATATAAAAAAATATTCCAGATTTTCTGGGGAGCATTTCAAATCATAGGTCCTCCAAACAAGAATGTGGGTCCATTGAGTTGACAGTTTCCAGAAGTAGAGTATTTATTCATTCTCTGCTTGGTGTCAGCTCATCGTGGTTTGGACTGTTAGTTAGTAATTGTTGTTGTCGTCGTCGTCATTGCTGTTGCTGCTACTGCTGTTGTTGTTGTGTACCTTCAGGTAATTTCTGATTTGTGGTGCCCTAAGACAATCTATCCAGGGTTTTTTTTTTTACAAGATGTGTTCAGGGGGGAATTCTGAACCTGAAAGAGTGTGATCAACATAGTGTGTTTTCATGGCCAGGTGGGAATTCGAATCTGTTCTCCAGAGTCATAGTCCAACATTCAAACTACTGTGTCTCATCAACTTTTCCTTTAGTTTGATACGTTTTTTTTTGTTTATTCCAAAATCTCCTCTCATTAAATGGAATAGTCTGGAACAAGCATTTGTCATTCATTGTTTGATGAAGAAGATTGTAGTTTATTAATCCCCACCCCACCCCAATCACAGCAGTGTTATCCTTGATCCAGGTTCATGTTTCTCATAGTCTAAGCGGTGCAATTCCACCTATTAGATTTTGGCTTCCTGCATTGGCCCAAAGTCCTGGCAAAGGTTATCCTGCTGTTTACGGAAGATAGATTTTGAGAGTGCACTCAGCATATGAAAAAAATTATATGAGATGTACCCTCTTCTAATTTAGCAAGCCTCTGCAGTGTGACCAATGTGTAAATGAGTTTCAGGAAGAAGTACCAACTCATTTGTGACTGTTTCTAGGAAACATGTAAGAGTGTAGAGATAACTTATTTGTACCTAACTATAGTTAGTTCCCAGAAGAAAACGGATTGCACTTAGGTATTCTTGGGTTGAATTTTTCTTCTTCTATAACATTTTAAAATGGTATTGATTTTTGTTCTCTCTCTCTCTCTCTCACACACACACATATATATATAATTAATTCCTGGTTGTGTCTTCCTTTCTATTTCAAATATTGCCATAGCATTCCATCTGAGAGTTGGAGGTGAGGGTTTACCTAGCTTTTCCAAGCCAACTTGGGAGAGACAGAATGATCCATTGCTGTGGAGAATATCAATTAGTTGAATGTTGCTTAATGGGATGGACTTAATCTATAGGTTTTGGAATTTCTCCTTTAAAAATTCACGGCAAGAATCTTGCCTTATCAGAAAACTATTAGCATAGTATTATTTAGATTAGATTTGTCACTAGTCTGCTAGACATAGTCACTTGTGTGATTTGACTACAATTCCCATTCTTGAGCATTAGCTGTGTTTCTAAAGCTGATAGAAAATGAAGTCTGAAAAGGTCTTGGAGAGCTACAGGTTCACAAACGTTGATCTGGAGGTTAAAACACAGAATTATTACCTCAGCCCATTACATAGTCACAAAACCCACTGGCAGAACGGGGATTAAAGCAGATAAGCGGGGTTATGATTCCTTTGGGTTACAAAAGAAGTACATTCTGTTGAAATTATGTATGAATCTGTACAACTTGTTTCACCCCCTTAGTATTGCTGGAGCGGACGGTTTGGAAAATAGCCCTGTATCTCCTAACCCTCAAGAGAGGCCTGTTGGACAGTCTCCCCTTAGATCGCCTTTGAAACGGCAAGCGTCAGTATGCTCTACACGACTCGGGAGTACTAAAAGTCTTACAGCAGCTTTCTATGGAGACAAGCCTGTTCCAGCTGGTGTGCAGTTCAGCAGTGATGTCTCCCGCAGCGATGAAAATGTCTTAGATTCCCCAAAGCAGAGGAGAAGCTTTGGTTCTTTCCCATACACACCTTCTGCAGACTCAAATTCATTTCATCAGTATCGTTCCATGGACTCTAGCATGTCAGTGGCTGATAGTGAAGCCTACTTTTCTGCAGCTGAAGACTTTGAACCTATAAGCAGCGATGAAGGCCCGGGAACCTATCCTGGGAGAAAAAAGAAGAGGAAGCAAGCCAAAATAGACTATGGACGGGGCTCAATTTATCACAGTGTAGAAGGACCCTTAACTACTACTTTGCATGGAGAAGTTAGTCAGGATCCAAAAACATTACCAATAAAAACACATCCCTCTCAGGCTTCATTTGTTTCTGCTTTGGGAGGAGAAGATGAACTTGTAGAGCATTTATATGTTGTAGAAACTGAGAAGGCTTCTGAGAATGAACAAATCACTTCCCAGCAACCTGTAATGAACTGCTATCAAAGCTACCTTACTCAGTATCAGGTGGTTAACTGGTCAGTAAAACATCCAACAAATAAAAGAACATCTAAATCGTCCTTACATCGGCCATTAGACCTTGACACGCCAACTAGTGAGGAAAGCTCCTCATCATTTGAACAGCTTTCAGTCCCAACCTTTAAGGTAACAAAACTTTGATATCTGTTTAATTGGTTGGTAAATGTGGCAGTAGAATTTTATATATGTTAAGAATCTCTGTGTGGTGTCATAAATATGGAACGTGAATCCCAAAATTCACCTGAAACCCCAAGATGACATTTTTTTTAAAGTGTGGGTTTTTTTGCTTCCAAACTATACAAGCAGTTCTAAAACACTGCAAAATGTAATGGTTTCTCCTCAAGAGTAAAATATATATATGCTGTATAAATACTGTAAATAAATCAATAAATAAACAAACAAACCAGTACAGCCTGGGGGGTGGAGATTGCAGGAGTGAATAATAGCATCTTTCCTTTCTAGGTTTCCCACCTACTGTAAAAAATCCTTTGTAATAAAAGTATACAGTTTTCCAAATAATATTTAAATTTCAATTGTATATGACTATGTTTCAGTAATGTAAGGGATATATAAACTATGCCAATTCTGTTCAATTCTTACACATCTGTGAAAGAAGATTATTTCATGTGTAGAGATGTTAAGATCTTCTGGTGGGGCCCTGCTCTCAGTCCTGCTACTTTAGCAATCGCGTCTTGGGGGAATGAGAGACAGGGCCTTTTCTGTGGTGGCCCCTTGACTATGGAACTCTCTCCCTATTGAGATCAGATCTGTCTCCTCCCTCCTTACCTTCAGGAAGCTAGTGAAATCCTGGCTATGGAACAAAGCATTCCCAGAATAATGGCTGAGATTGGCTACAGCCTAAGTTATTGACCACATGTGGACTGAGTTGGATTTGATTTTAATTGGCAATTTGGCTTATATGTATTTTACTCTATTTGTATTTTAATCTTTTGTTGTTGTATGATGTTTTAGACTGTATTATTGCATTGAATTCTTGCTGTGAGCTGGTCTGAGTCCCTCTACGGAGGTAGAGAAGATCAGGACATAAAAGTTTTAAATAAATAAATAAAAAATTCTGTGTTCTAGATTGTGAAACAAGGCCTCACAGCTAATGCTCTACTGGATCGAGGTATGCAGCTTACAGGATCAACATCTAAGTAAGTAGTTCGATTGCAGTTTGCTTTGTAATTTTGATACTGTAACAGCTACTTTTGTTGTGTAATGGAGTTCCATACTACAGAGGAATATAAATAAATATAAAATTCAGCAACATTACCAGAGCTGAATGTATACATTTTCTCCCACTACATTTCTGCCACTAGGATGCTAAGTAGAGTTGTGCATTCAGGGTAAACCTTGGTCTGTTTAGTGTCCTGGCTTTCAGTGGGGCCCCCGATACGGTTTTTGAGAGCCTCTCAAAATCAGGAAGGGGGATATCTGTTTTCACTCTGGGGTGCTGACTATTGGCCCATTATGGGGAGGGGGGTTCCCAACAGGCTCCCCTTCCTATGAGCTTTAAAGAAGCCTCTTACCTGCTGTTTCTACTCTAGAAGAGGCACCCGGCTCCAGGCACCTGCAGGCGTGCATGCGTCCTGGGCCTACACGCCACACATGCACTCTCTCTCTCTAAGCCAAGGAGGCAAGTTCTGTTTCTTACTCTAGAGGAGGCACTCGGCTGCAGGCACTGACAGTCGCACGTGCTTTCTGCAGTCTCCTTGTAAAGAGAGTGAGTGCGTGGCATGCAGGCCCAGAAAGCGCATGCACCTGTCAGTACCTGTAGCCAAGCGCCTCCTCTAGAGTAAGAATTTCTTAGACTAGAGGAGGTGCTTGGCTGCAGGCACTGACAAGTGCGCGCTTTCTGGGTCTGCACACCACACACACGCACTCTCTTTCCAAGGCAAGGAGGCAAGTTCTGGGAGGTGCTTGGCCACAGGCGCGAGCGCTCTCTCTCACGGGCTACACCACGCCAGCCAGCCACGCACTTTTTCCAAGGCATTTTAAGGAGGTTTCCCACTTCCAGGTAAGGAAGAGCGATGACCTCCTGGAAGAAGAGAGTATTTTTCAGAGAATGGGAATTTACTTTTGTTTGCTGGGGGATTAATTCAAAAAGATTAAACTGTGATGCCGAAAAACAGGCTTGCAGCCAGGATGCTTGCTCTTGTGTCGAGCTGATTTTTGTACCAGGATTGGCCTTCCCGTTACATGCTCCCAAGGTACAAAAAGAAATGAAGGAAATAGGAGAAACAAATTATGTGCACAACTCTCATGCTAAGAGTGTCATATTCACATATGCTTATTTGCTGCATGGCTGCAAAAGCAATGTCTGTACTGGTGAGATCCAAGTTGAAAGGAATCTAAATATTGACTGATATGAATTATGGTTATTTGGGGAAATTGTTTCATTCTGTTATATATCCCTAGTAAATAGCATGTTGGATAAGTATGTAATAGTTTCTGTCTCAGATTTTTTATTTTATTTTAAATAATCTGAGAGGTGAACTTCAACCCATTTTTATTAATCAAAAACATTTTATTTATTAAAATGTTTATATTATCTTTTTTTAAAAAAGATCATAGGAGCTTGTAGCAAACCTTGATGATATAATGCAAAGACATTTTGGCTTGCTAATGATCCCATAAAGTATGTGGTGAACTCAGAAATAGTCTTGCATTTCTTTTGCTGGCCCAGTAATCTCTGTGTTGTGTAAAATTATGTTTCCTTTGAAATTTCTCTACAGTTTAATGCTCTTCAAGTAGACAGCGAGCTATGCATCCTCATTGTTAAACTCAAATGGCTTTTCAGGAGATTATGGAAATAACTGGGATATTCTATCATCTGTCAGATAAAAAGCATGGACTGGTGAAGTGCTGCCTGAGCATACTAATATTATTACCTTACATGACAGTTCTCTTCTGGTTTTTTTTATGACTACATTTCTCATTCTGTATAGTTTGCCTCGGATGATGAACCAAGAGAAACTACTTTCAGAATAAAGTTAAACACACTTTATTCTGGAGCTGTTCATCATCTCATGCATATAAGATGAACAAGATTAAGATTCCACCTTGATTTCCATAATGCGTGTTCCACCTCAGCATGCCAGAGCTCCAAATATTCAGTGCTGGCACCATTGAGATTGCTGATTAATTTTCTTTGAAGTTTTGAAATATTCTTCAGGAGACCACAATTTATTCTTTGCCAGGTTCTATAATCTTTTCCCTTAGGAATGCCAGTGTGATTGTGTAATGCTTTACAGTACATTCATTAGTCACATTGTGATGAGGCTGACAAAGAAGTACATGTGCCCTGGGGCATTGAACTAATTGTCTCTGTTGTATATTGCTGTTGAAAGCATTTGCTGTTTGGCACAGGTAACTGTGTCTTTAATGTTCTGAACCAGCAGGAAAAACTATTTCTTTACCTTTGACTGATATAAAATACCCTGAAATAACTATGAAATGGCTAGTTTTTAAGCTAGAACTTAAGAATGCATCCCAGTTGATACATCTAATTTTATGATATTAAGATGGAGAGATTCTTATCTGTTTGATTGCATTGACTTTGTATGAGCATCTGGCATTTCCCAAATCAGGCAGTTTATTAAATTCTTGCTGGCTGCCATTAGCAGTGCAAGATAGTTGCATTTGATAAGACATTTTATTAGTTAGATGCCTGCTCTGTACTCTACACACTTCCCCGGCCCTTTGCCCTATTATAGCTGTTCAGCAGGCCCTGGAAATGAAGAGCCCTGGGCACCACCCCGGCCACTGGTTAGGCCTTGTCATGCACTATACCCACTGCCCTGGGCCTGTGTTTTTCCCCTTGGCCCAGTCTTCTTGTGGTTATGCAGCAGACCTTGGAAATAAATAGCTCCAGGTCCCACCCCGGCCATCAGGTAGCCCATGCCTGCCCTCTACTCACTCCCCGGGCACTATTCTACTTCGTCGTACTAGCCCAGCTGTCTCATAGATTTCGAGGTCCACTTTGGAATCTTGGCCATTGGAAGCAGAGCTGCCTGATGTAATTAGTTATGAACTGGCTTTTTAATTTTAAATACGTACGATTGTTATATAGCACTACATATATTTTTATAATGACTTTTTGTATGTTTTTATGTCAGTAATTGCAATGCTTTACCATGCTGGAAACTGCCCTGAGTCCCCTTGGGGAGATAGAGTGGTATACAAATATGGTTGTTTTATTTATTATTTGAAACACAACAAGATTAGTACGCAGCAAACAAGATCACTATGCTGGTTGTTGCATTGGATCACACATCGGACACTTTCCAAGTGTCTAGGACTATGTGATGTATCAGAATAACGCATGCAGATCCCAGTAGGGTGGCCTTTTGCAGCTGACAGATGATAATTTTGTAAGTGCTGATTGTATTTAAGTGCAGGCCAAGGTCTTTAGGCACTGCACCCAGTGTGCCGATCACCACTGTGACCACCTTGACTGGCTCGTGCCAGAGTCTTTGCAGTTCGATCTTTAAATCCGCATATCATGTCATCTTTTCCAGTTGTTTTTCTTCAATTCTGCTGTCACCCGGGATTGCAACATCGACAATCCATACTTTGTTTTTTAACATGATCGTGAGGTCAGGAGTATTGTGCTCCAAAACTTTTTCAGTCTGAATTCGGAAGTCCCAGAGTAGCTTGACGTGTTCATTTTCTGTAACTTTTTCCGGCTTGTGATCCCACCAGTTCTTTGTCGCAGGCAGATGGTATTTGTGGCACAAGTTCCAATGAATCATCTGAGCAACAGTGTTATGCCTCTGCTTGTAGTCTGTCTGCACGATCTTCTTGCAGCAGCTGAGGGTGTGGTCTATTGTTGTTGTTGTTGTTGTTGTTGTTGTTGTTATTATTACTATTATTCAGTAAACCTCCTAATAAATTCCACGTTGCAAAGAAAACCTTATAAAAATAATGTCTTCTTTTTGTTTATGTAGTACCCCATATACTCCTTTGGACAAAAAAATCCTCGATAATACAGATGATGAAACAATAACAGAAGAATGGACTCTTGATCACCCAGTGTCTCAGACCAGAACAACAGCTATTGTGGAAATAAAAGGACCAGTGGATGTAGTTCTCACTCCTCTTGTAGCAGAAGCTTTAGACAGGTATGCCATAGTTTAGGGAGTGAAATTAGTTCAGTAACCTGCATTATCAATTAATAATTGGTAGGACTGCATTACTGTGGCAGCACCCCTTACATGCAGAGGAATTGGGGCTGACCAAGGGCAAGATGGATGGATGTTATCCTTGAAGTGACTGGCTTAACCTTGAAGGAGCTAGGGGCAGCGACAGCTGACAGTGTGCTCTGGTGTGGACTGGTCCATGAGGTCATGAAGAGTCGGAAGCGAATGAACGAATAAACAACAGCATAATATAAAGATGAAGGAAAGAAAGCCACCACATATGAAATTTTGTGAACAATGGGGATCCACAGATAGGGACCCTACGGGTTAATTGTCTGGGTTGCCTGTGCAAAACATTTGCTGTTTAGGAGTGGTATTTAGTAGCTAAACAATTTATTTAATTTGCCAAAATATGAATTCTGCTGTTATAAATTATTTGTCAGACCCAACATTCTTAAATCTTTCTTCTATATATTTTTTCTCTTCGTTTTTGTGTGTGTGATCCACACCTTTTAAAAAACAGATAGACAAAACATTATGTAGTGTACCCTGAACATTTCTGCTAGATTTGTATAGTATACTATGACTTTATCATGTACTTGAAGGTTAATTTTTTGGAACTAATTTTCACTGCAGGTATATAGAGGCAATGGTTCACTGTGCCAGCACATGCCACCCAGCAGCTATTGTGGATGATCTGCATTGTAAAGTCCTCAGAGAAGCTGTACAGAACAGGAAAACAACTTATTCTGAAAACGTATGTGTGTTACATAATTAAAGAATTGAAGTTTTAATGGCAAATGATTGCAAAATGTGATTCATTATTTTTTTCTCCATATGTGAACAGCAAAAATAGGCTAAAAATCTAAATACTGATATGTCCAGTTGCCAAAAGATCTGAATGTAAGGAAGAATGCCTTCATTTAGGGGATTAGAATAGAAGGCAAATAACTGTGATAATATATATTGTTCCCATTTATGAAAAAGTGATAGGTGCTTTGCATTCAATGTCTCCAGACCTAGGAAAGAAATTTCCAGTTCTAACCTAAGAACTCTTGTCTGAGCTCTGTAAATTAACCTTGTCATTTCTACTTTTGATATCTAAGCAGAAAATTATAATTGACAAAGCATGAAGAGAGAGCAAAGTAGTACACAGGCTGCTCTTGGTGATGGAGGAATATGGAATATGTGTAAATATTTCACTGAAATATTCTATTTACACAAACTATATTTGGAAATTCAGCTATGAGTTGCACTTGGTGCTTTATAATCCAAAATAATCTTGGATTTTTAATATTTCATGAGGAGGACTTGCTTTGTCAGACCCGGGAAGTCTTTATCCTTGCTTTTATCTGCAAGTTTATTATGCCTGTTAGCAAGAGAAAAGGCTTTCCTGAATATCAAAACCGCCCCCCTTCCTACAATGAGAATGGAAAGTCATAGGTAAACACCCCCTATATATATTAGAAAAATATATTTAAAATTAAATCTTGACTATAAGTTTAAAGCTGAAATTAGTGGCTTTTAGTCATAAGATGTGTCTAGTGTCTAGATCTAAGGAAGTAATGCTACCCCTCTATTCTGCTTTGGTTAGACCACATCTGGAATATTGTGTCCAATTCTGGGCACCACAATTCAAGAGAGATATTGACAAGCTGGAATGTGTCCAGAGGAGGGCGACTAAAATGATCAAGGGTCTGGAGAACAAGCCCTATGAGGAGCGGCTAGGATCTGGGCATGTTTAGCCTGAAGAAGAGAAGGCTGAGAGGAGATATGATAGCCATGTATAAATATGTGAGAGGAAGCCACAGGGAGGAGGGAGCAAGCTTGTTTTCTGCTTCCTTGGAGACTAGGATGCGGAACAATGGCTTCAAACTACAAGAGAGGAGATTCCATCTGAACATTAGGAAGAACTTCCTGACTGTGAGAGCCGTTCAGCAGTGGAACTCTCTGCCCCGGAGTGTGGTGGAAGCTTCTTCTTTGGAAGCTTTTAAGCAGAGGCTGGATGGCCATCTGTCAGGGGTGATTTGAATGCAATATTCCTGCTTCTTGGCAGGGGTTGGACTGGATGGCCCATGAGGTCTCTTCCAACTCTTTGATTCTATGATTCTATTCTAAGATCATCATATGATTATTTGATATTTTATTGCAAATGACATGTACATGGATAAAGTATGCAATATCAAAATATGGCCTTTAAATATAAATTGAAATTTGCAATATGTCTTTCTTGCTTTTTTTATAGCTGTCTTCAAAGCAAGATGTTAGAGGAACGAAAATAGAAACCCCTGCTACAGGAACAACTCAAATAAAAACACAAACAAATCTTTCTGCTAAGCAGGAAAATGTGACTATTAAAGGACTTCAAGCCAATGTTACACTACCCAAGGTAATTAACTGTAAATAAAGCTATTTTGTACTATGCCTTAATTTTCATTTTGTCCATAGCATGGAGTAAACAGGGTGAGTGAGCAAGAACTTTACCAAGACACAGAACTTCTTAAAAAATGACCTAATTTGATTGGTTGCAGCTTGCAGACTTTGACATGTTATAGGATGATGGTCTGATGTCTGATATTCTGAGTCTTTAAGAAAAGAGCCTCCAGCTTGCATTCTGGGAACAGGGTACAAGGCGTTTTTGGGATTGCTGCAGCATGGAACAGTATCAGCAAATCATTGCTGACTAAGTCACAGAAGTTATATTGGCGTTCAAACTAGGCTGGACCTTGAATTATAATTCCAAGGATCCTTAAAGTGTCCCTGCAGTGGAGACCCAGCCCCTGTTTTTGTTAACTATGAATATTTCCATTTTCTGCTAAACAGTTGCTTCAAAAATAATTGCAGTTGAGCAACAAAACTTACTTAGGTGGAGTCAAAATCTCTAGATCATTGATGGATCATTAAACTTTGTCCATGAAATGGTGATGAGTTCTCTGAAATAATGCAGAATAGGTGTGAAATCTGATATAGGATGTTGTAGCTCAGCAGCCATCACAGCAGCCAGGGGCTGATGGATTCACTGAAGATTTCTTTCCTGGGATTCATAATGATACAGGCCAATGAAATGATTCAAGCCAGGAAAATGAAACTGCTTCAGATAGTGATACAGATAGCCAGCTTTGTAGATCAACACGGCTTTGTGAGAAACAGAAATTCCCTGGCAGACATACTGATTTCATGTCTGTTTATTAAGAGCTAATGTACACTCTGACTTCAGTTCAGGCAACGTGGCGTTCAAGTTAGAAGCTAGGCCTAAGTTCTCTAGTTCATGTTTCAAGCCTTGGCTTTGGATTTAACTATCTTGGGAGTTTTTCCATGTTCTTGTTTTGTATTCCTGTTTCAGTTTTGCTAAGCATATCTTCTGCTTGTGGACTTAAGCTGCCTTTGCATTTTGGGACTGTCTTTGGATTGTGTTACCTTTGGATTTATAAGAGGCAATTAATTTCCTGTTTGGTTATTATCTACTGCTGACTCCTTTGGATTCAATCTTATTTTTCCATATACCTTTTATGTGTGTGTGTGTGGTTTTTTTTTTACAATAAACTGGTTGCTTATATTCTGGACTCCTGTGTGAGGCTGTCGTCATCGGTGGCTTCAGTCCTGGAGTGCAACACAGGACTAGCTTGGGTCTGCCCTCTGTAAAGCTCAAATTTGAACTAGAAGAGCAATATCCTATCTCCAGTCCCTGTTGGTGTCTCACCTCCCAGTCAACCAGTAGATGAGTTAATTAACTACCAGTAGATGAAATATCTTCTTGAAGACACAGGTTTAAGTATAGTCCTGGGTCCAGCATAGAGCTGGATGTTTAGGCAGTGATCAGGAATGTATACCAAAGATGTTTGTTCTGGCCACAGTGATGCACATCTTGCTTATATCCTCTTTGTATTACTTTAACACACTTTACTTTTCAAAGTATTCAGAAACTTGAACTGGCCCCCAAAATATGCAGCCAGAACATTGGCAAGGACTTGTTACCGAGAGGCATATAATTCACAAGAGCTCCACTACCTATTGGTCAGGGCACAATTCAAAGTATCGTTGTGATCTATAAAGCCTGCATATTGATACAGGCTGGACACTGTTTTCAGTTCTACGAGTGGTTTGCAAAATTTAGCTTTTTTGAAATTGTAATGTCATACCTATTATATACTGTAATGTAAGCAATGAATGATTTCTTACATGCTATACAATGTAATGAAATAACGTATCTTGACATTGAGAAGACTGCTTTCCTCCAAGGAGAGTGGGTGTTTGTATAGCTGTGGCTGCATATAATAAATAAGCTATAAGACTATCAGGAACCTGATTGTTTTATGTCCTTCATGTTGGAGAGCAGTGCAAATGTCTTCATTCCTTTTGAAGGTAAATCTATGTTTACTGCAAGCATCAGTGGAAGAGTCATCAGGCACAGCCACAGGCAAAAGTGTAACCCACGTTTCTTTAGTGGCGTTGTGTTTTGATAGAATTGCTACACAGCTTCGTATGAACAGGTAAGGCACTATCTTTTGATAATCTAGTCCTCTGACAGAATACATAACACTTACATCTGGTTGAATAACATGACTTGAGAAGTTCTCTTTAAGCCATTTCTTAATAGTGACCTTCTAAATTAGAAACAAGGACATTGATTAAGATAATGAGAGAAAAGAATGAGTAAAACTCCAGTTTTCATTAAAAATGCTCATTTTAGATCTGGGGGAAAAGTCACAATATTTTTTTGATCGTATCGATTTTATTGATCAGACAATTGACCTTATCAAAACAGACAATATAAACACAACGTACAGTATACATCTAGTCTGAGTAAAATTGTAAATATACAAGTACAGAGAGAAAAAGTGGGGATGGCCAACTTATAATTGAAGTCACAATATTCTTAAAAGGTTTTGCTAAGTTGGCCCATTGCACAAGATGACAATTATCTCAAAGGCTTTGATATTACATTTATTACTTCTGAAAGTACAGCTTATCATAATGGTTTTTCTTTAGTTATGCATATGTATTAGTGAGAACTTTTTATATTTCACTTGCTTAATGGTAACTGAAATCATATGTTAATACTTGGTTTGTTGGTAATTTATTTTTATTTAATGAGCAAAATATGCAGAAGATATAAACCATTGATAGTAGAAAAACATATTCTGAGATTTTATTTTTTTATTTTTTAAGGGGTATAGTTGAAGAGAATCCAAATAGTGCAGAAACTAGAACGAGTTCTGTAACTTTTGAGAAGTACATCCATAGCAGTAAAATGCAGCCCCAGTCCTCTGGATCCCTGAGATCAAATGTGGGAGCAGAGAAAGGGAAAGAAATTGCAGCTAAGCTCAATATTCACCGCATTCATGGGCAGCTCAGAGGCCTTGATACAACAGGTAAGCATGAAGCAAGTTTGCATGAATAGTGTACTGTTTTCAAATAAGTTATGTATTAGGCTAAGAATCTAAAGAGAATGATCCTGCTGCAATTTAACAGTATGAGTATTTTTAATGTGAAAGTATATTCCATTTAGTCTCTGCATAAGGTAATTGTTGGCTTGGCCAAACTTCCAGCTTTATTTCTTCAGTTCATCAATAAACTGCACACAGTTTTAAAAGTTGAAAAGGATATGCTCAGGTATATATTTGATTGCTTTTATTTTATTTATTGTGTCAGAAGCGAACTGAGAATACGGTTATAGTGTATAAAAATCACAAAGAAGGTTAAAAACTTGGCATTATGCTAAATGTCCTTGGTCCAGAAGCTGTCCACTTGGCGTGCCTCTGGTGTCGCTGTAAGATGGTCCTTCATTGTTCATGTGGTAGGGCACAGGCTGCATTCTAGTAGGTAGTCTGTGGTTTGTTGTTCTCCACACTTGCATGTTGTGGACTCCACTCTGAAGCCCCATTTCTTAAGATTGGATCTGCATCTCGTGGTGCCAGAACGCAGTCTGTTCAGTGCCTTCCAAGTCATCCAGCCTTCTATGTGCTCAGGAGGGAGTTTCTCATCCTGTTTCAGTCACTGGTCGAGGTTCTGGATTTTAACCTGCAACTTTTGGACTCTCACTTGCTGAGGTGTTCCTGTGGGTATCTCTGTAGATCTAAGGAAGCTGTTTCTTGATTTAAGAAGTTGGTATGCTGGCTGATATCCGAACAGAGGATGGGCCAGAGATGTCATTGCTTTGGTAGTTGGCTGGTAGTTACCAACAGATATCAGTTGCTGTAATGCCGGCTAAACAGTATAATTTCTCCAGTGGCTTAGGGTGTAGACATCCTGTGAAAATGAGGCATGTCTCATTAAGAGCCACATCCACTGTTTTACCATGGTGAGATGTATTCCATGCTGGGCATTGCTTGTGAACACCCAAGATGATAGAAGTAGACAAAAGAAAACCAGCCAAAATTCAAACCAGGATATTGGAAACAGCGCTTTCTTCTTTTTTTAAAATGCTGTCCTGTAAAAATATTTTCTTTTTCTTGCAGATATTGGGACATGTGCGATAACAGCCATTCCTTTCGAAAAATCAAAAGTTCTTTTCACCTTGGAGGAGCTGGATGACTTTTCTTTTGTAGATGAAACTGATCACCAGGCAGGGCCAGATGTCACACGAATAGGTCCTAGCCAAGAGAAGTGGGGCTGGATCATGTTTGAATGTGGAATTGAAAATCTGACAATTAAAGGTGAATAAGAACATGGCAATTTATTTTTGTGTGCTTAATGCAGAAAGTAGAAGAAAGAAGCAAACATTTTGCCATCTTCTCATATTCACAGGTGGTAGACAGTCTGGTGCTGTTTTATATAACACATTTGGGATCCTGGGAAAATCGGCAGCCACAGAGAGGGGTGGATTACTCGCTTCAAACAATTCTTCGGACTCTCCAACTGGCAGCGGTTACAATACTGATGTGTCTGAAGAGAACCTCCCATGTGATCAAATAAGTGCTACTTCAGACACTCATCCAAATTCAGTTTCAGATGAGCAGGTAACTTTCCGTAATGTTCTAGGTAGCAAGCGTTTAGCTTCTGCTTTTGACAGAAACAGTAGGTTTTCGTACTTGCAAATAATAATCACTTTCCTGTCAGTGCTGTGAAGATGTGTGTCCTCACATTGCAGGAAGGAGCCATCCAACGATAGGTTAAGGCCCATTACCATCAAGGGATTGAGACTGGCAAGAGAGCAGATTAATGATTAAAGCAACAGTCTCTTCCCCTATACACAGGGGGATGAAATTCCAAGATATATTAGCATCATGTGTCTCAAATACAAGGAGTTCATAGAATCATAGAGTTGGAAGAGACCTCATGGGCCATCCAGTCCAACCCCCTGCCAAGAAGCAGGAAAATCACATTCAAAGCATCCCCGACAGATGGCCATCCAGCCTGTGTTTAAAAGCTTCCATGGAAGGGGCCTCTTCCACACTCCAGGGCAGAGAGTTCCACTGCTGAACAGCTCTTACAGTGAGGAAGTTCTTCCTAATATTCATGTGGAATCTCCTTTCCTGTAGCTTGAAGCCATTGTTCCTCATCCTTGTCTCCAGAGCAGCAGAAAACAAGCTTGTTCCACCTCCCTATGACTTCCCTCACATATTTATACATGGCCATCATGTCTCCTCTCAGCCTTCTCTTCTGCAGGCTAAACATGCCCAGCTCTTTCAGCTGCTCCTCATAGGGCTTGTTCTCCAGATCCTGATCATTTTAGTCACCCTTCGCTGGGCACATTCCAGCTTGTCAATGTCTCCCTTAAATTGCAGTTCCTTCAATAGATGGTTGACTTTGTTAGAGCACTTTTGCCTTTTGCCTTCATCCCTGAGCACTTTTGCCTTTTCTTGAAATGTCTGCATCTTTTATATTTTAAAATTGATACACTATGTACATGCCTTAAGATACGCAATTACACAACCCTTATCTCTTGCAACTGGAGTTTTAGATTTAACCTTATCTCTTTTTTCCCTTTTTCATATAGGACGAAGGGGTTGAATCTGATGATCTGAAAAAAGATAATCCTTTAAGGCCTCCCCCAGCCGATTCTTGTAGCATGAAACTAACCATCAAAGAGATTTGGTTCAGTTTTGCTGCTCCCACAAATGTGCGTTCACCTGCCCATAAATTTTCAAGGTACAGCAGATTCTACTTCAACTATGCTGCAGTCTCATGGGATGTCAAATTGCCTATCATGTATATTGTGCAAAAGAGATGAACAATGATCTAAATCAGCACGCTGCTGTATTGCTGAATGTTACACTTAGGCTCAATATTTGAAACTATTTCATCTTTTAAAAATGTTAATATCACGATTGATTGGTATAGTTTGGAATAAGAAGAATAGTCTCAGAAGTATATCCATTGTCAGAAGTATATCCATTGTGACTTAAGTAATTCTACCAAATAAACTCAATTTCAGTTGGGATCATTCTTTCAATTTCACTGTGATCTATTTAATTTTAGATCACGCTTTCTATGTATAATTTGTTTGCAAGCTTTAGTTATTGTAATTTCTAAATAGCAAAAGGTAGGAGGACATAAAGTGAACTCACTCATTTGTTCCCATTTTTCCGTTGTTTTATTACTAAATTTAAGCATGATATATTCAATTTAGCATATTTTAAACTCTAAATGAATTTATGACCTGAATCAATTTAGGCATTGCTCCTTCTGTATTTCTCTATCTATCTATCTATCTATCTATCTATCTATCTATCTATCTATCTATTTTGTCTATATTCTGCATATACACTTTTATTGTGAGTTATACTGTTTCTATATTTCTTTTGTCTAATTAAAACTTTTAGAGGACCTATTGCCATTGCAAATTATAGGAGAAAGAGTGGACTTGTCCCTCTTGTGAACCTGTTAATATTAATCCATTAATAATATCTTTCCAATAATGGAGTAATGCATATTCCAAAACTTCATTTTCTTAGATATTTGATAAAATAAGGCCATTCCAATTTCCCCAAAGTTTTAAAAATATCCAGCTGGGATTTCTGGGAGTTGAAGGCCAAAACATCTGGGGACCACAGGTTGAGAAGCATTTCATTAGACAATTGCCTGTCAGGCATAAACTCAACTTGGTCTGGTGAAAGTATGAGATAATTTAGGAACTACCAAACAATATAGTGATCAGTATTTGAAAAATGGATCTTTCAAATAACACTATGTAACAAAATTTGAATTTTTTCTGCTCCTGGTTTGAAAGTGTTATTTCCCGTTTAGTTGTGTGGTACTTACTTTGAAAATAGTTGTCATACTCCAGAAACTTTGTTTTTGTGGCTCTGTTGAATTGGTTGAGACTCGACGAGACATTCAATGAAAAACTATAGCAAAAGGGGTGCAGGATGTCCCGCAAAAACAAATTTTTTGCTGTTTAATAAACGTTTTCCATGTTTTTCTGATATAACTAATTTTGAAATGACATTTATATCCCAGGGGGAAAAAAACATATTACAGAGTGTAATCATATTCATGTATCATATATGGTCTCTGTGAGCGTTTTAGCACGATTATTATTTTATGGCTTTGAAATACCTGAGTCTCAGGGACTAGAGACCTTTCATTTCCAATTACCAATTGCAATATTTGGCATAGGAAATTTAATGCAGTGCATAATGATGTAAATTCTACATTGCTTACTGGCATTGTCCCATTTTCTTTTCTTTGTATTTTGCACCTAGTAGACCTTTTAAAACAGATATTTATTTATTTATTGTGTCATCAGCAACCATACCGTTGTGTTACAACTCTAACAGAACAAAACAAACACACAGATTAAAAAGAAAAAAAAACAAACACAGATTTTGCAAACTTGGTAGTTAGTTAAATGTCCTTTGACCAGTATCTGGCCACTTGGAGTGCCTCTGGTGTTGCTGCAAGAAGGTCCTCCATTGTGCATGTGGCAGGGCTCAGGGTGCATTGCAGCAGGTGGTCTGTGGTTTGTTCTTCTCCGCACTCGCATGCCAAGGATTCCACCCTGTAGCCCCATTTCTTAAGATTGGCTCTGCATCTCGTGGTGCCAGAGTGCAATCTGTTCATCTCGTGGTGCCAGAGCGCAGTTATGGAGATTCATACATAAAATATAGTTATGGAGATTCATACATAAAATATGTATAAGACTGGTTTTCTAAATATTTACAAGATTGTTACATAAGGAAACTAAATGAACACCTTTATTTATGTAAAGCTGTCACCCATGTTGTCCCAAGGGATTAATTACCTTTCATAACTGATATTTCTTCCAATAGGCAGCTGAACCTTCTAAGCACTGCAACACCTGCTGTTGGTGCTTGGCTTCTCCCTATTGATCAAGTGAAGTCCTCTTTAAACAAATTAGACACAGAAGGAACTCTACGAGTTTGTGCTGTCATGGGCTGTATAATGACAGAAGCATTAGAGGTGAGTGGATTGATGGACAATAGCTAGAGTTAAGTGTATTGCTTCACCTTGCAATGGCTGCTTAATGGACAAAACAGTATTTCTAGAAGCTACCATGAGTCATGGATTGGGGAAGCAACAGGATGTAAATAAATATAATAAGAGAAATAACAGATCTGTACCTGCATGTATTTGGAATAAAGGAGATGTATATATGTTGTTAATGAATGTAACCACTTTTATGTATTTAGAACAAAAGTGTGCATTTTCCACTGAGGAGCAAGTACAACAGGCTCACTAAACTTGCTCGTTATCTTCAAGAAAACCCTTCCTGTTTGCTCTGTAATATATTGCACCACTATCTCCATCAAGCAAATTATTCCATTATTGAAGATGCAACTATGGTAAGTTTCTCTTTTACAATACACTCCTATAAAATATACTTGTATTTAAAAGGTAAAGGTTTCCCCTGACATTAAGTCTAGTTGTGTCCAACTCGGGGGGGGGGGGGTGCTCATCTCCATTTCTAAGCCAATGAACCGGCGTTGTCCATAGACACCTCCTAGGTCATGTGGCCAGCATAACTGCATGGAGCACCGTTACCTTCCTGCCAAGGCTATACCTATTGATCTACTCACATTTGCATGTTTTCAAACTGCTAGATTGGCAGAAGCTGGAGCTAACAGTGGGAGTTCACCTCGCTCCCTGGATTCGAACTGCCGACCTTTCAGTCAGCAAGTTCAGCAGCTCAGCAGTTTAACCCACTGCATCACTTTTATATATATTTGCATAATATTCATCATAGTATCACTGCATGTTCAAATTAGAGCAAATATCTGTTGTGGCAGACTTGCTGTGGCAGACATTGTAATACTTCATTATCATTATTACTCCCTATAGTAGTAAACTCAGGTGATGAATACCAACAGAAACAGAGATGAAACACGTCAGTGAGAAACAAGAGAGAGGGGTGATGATTGCTGTTACTCAAATGTGTTTTTTTTTCCGTGTTAGCTTCCTTAAGCTTGGAAAGGCAGAATATTAATGTTAGTAATACATTAACGTACTGTTGTTCTCCAAGACTGGGAAGCACCTCTGCACTTAACACACACACCAATCCATGGTAAAATAGCAAGCAGTTTATTGAAGACTATATAAAAAGCATTTCAGCAAAATAGTATCAGAAACCAATGCCAAAAATCAGAGATAATCCACAAAAAAACCCCAATGCACGTGAGTAGCATCCAAAAACCAGGAATACAAGAGTGGAATAAATCCAAAACATGAATATTCAGGAACAGTCCTCAACATTTGGTCACATGAAATAGGAACAAGCAGGAAAACATGAACATGGTATTAAAAATCTTGACAGGAGTTCTATGCTCAATCTCCAGCATTGTTTCAATTGTCCAAAGATTCAGTTGGCCTAGCTAATATAGATAGAAAAGTGTACCTTTTCTCTTGGGAAACTGATAAAGACTTTCTCACTAACAAGCAATCTAACCTTCGAACTTTCTCATGTGAAACTCTTATGTTGACGAAACATAAATCTATCTAACTGCTTATTAGTCTGTCCACCTGGACTTTCACTATCATCCTCTGAGCTCAGTTCTGTTGGAATGTGACCTTCAGACAGAGACCACTCATTTCCAGTCTCTAGCTGCTCCTGCTGACTTTCCTGCTGACTTGCAGACCCAGAATCCATCGTGTCAACAGGCTAAGAGGCCCAGAATCCCTTGTGTCCAAAGGCTGATTGACAGGCCCAGAATCCCCAGGGAGATCAGGTGCAGGCACAATCAAAGGCTGAACTACAACACATACATACATAGACTTCGGAGCAAACACATATAACACTTCACTATAGTGTGCTGCATAATTTCCTTTTGTTAATGCTGTGCCAGATTAAAATGAACAAACACTTTGGGAATTGATTTTAGAATGGAGCATATATGTGTTTTTCTTCTAGAGTGATGGCCTTCCTGCTCTGGTGACATTAAAGAAAGGACTCATAGCACTCGCTAGGCAGTGGATGAAATTCATTGTGGTAACGCCAGCCTTCAAAGGAGTGAGCTTACATAGGCCCACTCAGCCAATGAAACCCCCCTCAACTGTAGCCCATGAGCAAGAGGATGGTTTTGGCTTAGACAATGGAGGTGGTCTTCAAAGTGACACAAGTGCTGATGGTGCAGAGTTTGAGTTTGATGCAGGTATTGGTGCACCTTTTGATTTTATGAATTCAGAGCTCACCTTTTGTTTGAATCTCTCCCTCCCTGACACTCTTTTTCATACTCCATGTATGTTATATTAATCAGTCTCATTCAAAGTGCAAGCATGTATGTACATCTAGTTTTCTTCTGTTTGGTATTTATTATTTTAGTATAGGCAGAAGTGCCTAAAATATTCATGTTATCTCTTTTTGGTTTAAGCTGTAATAGACCTTAAAAATTAATCCAAGTGTGCTTGCAAAGGAAACTATTTCAAATGTGTTAGATTGATTTTATCACACTCTACCCCAAGATGACTGGATGAGGGCAGAGTGGGGGTTTAATAAAAAAAAAAATCAGGAGCTTTTGGAAAACTTAGAAGTACAAGTAGGCAGCAATTTGATATACCATATATACTCAAATATAAGTCAACCTGACTAAGATGAGGCACCTAATGTTACCACAAAAAACTGGGGAAAACGACCCACAGTATAAGCTGTGGGTTGGAAATGCAGCAGCTATTGGTAAATTTCAAAATTAAAATAGATAGCAATAAAATTACATTAATTGAGGCATTAGTAGGTTATTTATTTATTTTAGTTGTCGTGTCAGCAGCAACCAGACATTTGTATCACATTTTTAACAAAAACAAACAAACAGACAAAATATGAAGTTTGCAAGCTTGGTAGTTGATTAAATGTCCTTTGACCAGTAGCTAGCCACTTGGAGTGCCTTTGGTGTTGCTGCAAGAAGGTCCTCCATTGTGCATGTGGCAGGGCTCAGGTTGCATTGCAGCAGGTGGTCAGTGGTTTGGTCCTCTTCACACTCATGTCGTGGATTCCACTTTGTAGCCTCATTTCTTAAGATTGGCTCTTCATCTCGTGGTGCCAGAGCACAGTCTGTTCAGCGCCTTCCAAGTCGCCCCGTTTTCTGTGTGCCCAGGAAGGAGTCTCTCATTTGGTATCAGCCATTGATCCAGCAAAGGATCACCGCCTTGGCGGGGCGCTGGAGCTTGAGCACCTCAATGATGTCATGAGCGAAACCGTGAAGGGCCACCCAAGACGGGACGGTTGTGGCAGAGAGGTCAGACCAAGCGTGATCCCTGGGGAAGGCAATGGCAAACCACTCCCAGTATCCTTGCCAAGAAAACTAAATGGACCAGTACAACCAGAGATATGTCGGTATGCCATTGGAAGATGGGACTCCCAGGTCGGAAGATGGCCAAAATGCTACTGGGGAGGAGCAGAGGATAAGTTCAACTAGCCCCAGATGTGATGACGCAGCTAGCTCAAAGCCGAAACGAAGGCTAGCGGCCGACGGTACTGGAGGTGAACGACGAATCCGATGCTCTAAAGATCAACACACCATAGGAACCTGGAATGTAAGATCTATGAGCCAGGGCAAATTG